TAAATAGAGGGTAGCTTTTGTATGTTTCTCCTGTATAGGCATATGTTGTTTTATTGGTGCTTCTTGGATGCTGTGTTTGTAATGAATTGAAGGTTTGTGGCAACCCTACATTGAGCAAGTCTGTCAGCACCATTTTTCCAATAGTACTTGCTCACTCCTGTCTCTGTGTCACATTTTGGTAATTCTTGCAATATTTTAAACTTCTTCATTATTATAATTGTTATAGTAATGTGTGATCAGTGATCTTTGATGTTGGTAATTGTTTTGGAGTACACAAGTCATGCTGATACAAAACAGTAAACTGCTACACCAGCTGTTTGTTCCCTTGTCTCTCTCCCTCCCCCAGGGCTTCCCTGAGACAATGATACTGAAGTTAGGCCAGTAAGTAACCTTACAGTGGACTCTTAAGTATTCAGGTGCAAGAAAGAGTTTTCACGTCTCTCACTTTAAAGCTAGAAATGATTAAGCTAAGTGAGGAAGGCATGTTGAAAAGTTAAGATAGGCCCAAAGCTAGGCCTCTTTTGTCAAACAAGTTGTGAATGCAAAGGAAAAGTTCTTAAAGGAAACGGTAAGTACTACCCCAGTGATGCATGAATGAAAAGAAAGATAAACGGCTTTATTGCTGATACAGAGAAAGTTTTACTGGTGTGGAGAGAACCAGTCATATTCACTTTTGTTCAAGCCTGGTACAGAAGAGGGCTCTAACGTTCTTCAATTCTTTGGAGGCTGAGAGAGGTGAGGAAGCTGCAGAAGAAAAATTTGAAGTTAGCAGAGGTTGGTTCATGAGGTTTAAGGAAAGAAACTATCTTCATAACGTAAAAGGGCAAGGTGAAACAGTGAGTGCTGATGTAGAAGTTGCAGCAGGTTACCCAGAAGGTTTGGCTAAGATAATTAATGAAGGTGGCTGCAGTAAACAACATTTTCACTGTAGATAAAATAGCCTTATATTGGAAGACAATGCATCCATCTAGGACTTTTATAGGAGATAATGGAAGTCAGTGCCTGGCTTCAAAGCCTCAGAGGACAGGCTGACTCTCTTGTTAGGGACTATTGCAGCTGGGGACTTTAAGTTGAAACCAGTGCTTGTTTATAATTCTGAAAATCCTAGGGCCCTTGAGAATTACACTAAATCTTTTCTGCCTGTGCTTTATAAATGGACCAACAAAGCCTTGATTACTACATATCTGTTTATAATATTGTTTACTGAATATTTTAAGCCCACTGTAGAGACCTAAAGATTTCTTCTAAAATATTACTGCTTATTGACAATGCACCTGCACACTCAAGAGCTCTGATGGAGATGTACATCAAGTTTAATGTTTTCATGCCTGCCAACACAGTATTCATTCTGCAGCTCATGAATCAAGGAGTAATTTTGACTTTTAAGTCTTATTATTTAAGAAATACATTTTGTAAGCCTGTAGCTGCTGTAGATACTGATTTCTCAGATCTAGGCAGAGTAAATTGAAAACCTTCTGGAAAGGATTCACCATTTTAGATTACATTAAGAACATTTGTGATTCATGGGAAGAAGTCAAAACATAAACATTAATAGGAGTTTAGAAGAAGTTTATTTTAACCTCAGGGATGACTTTGAGAGGTTCAAGATTTTAGTGGACTAAAATAACTACAGATATTGGTAGATACAGCAAGAGAACTAGAATTAGAAGTGGATCCTGAAGATTTGACTGGGTTGATGCGATCTTACTGTAAAACTCTAGTAGATGAGGAGTTGCTTCTTATGGATAAGCAAAGAAAGTGGTTTCTTGAGATAGAATTTACTCCTGGTGAAGATGCTGTGAAGATTATTGAAATGACAACAAAGGAGTTAGAATATAATACATAAACTTAATTGATAAAATAGCAGTTGCGTTTGAGAGGGTTAACTTCCAATTTTGAAAGTTCTACTGTGGGTAAAATGCTATCAAACAGTACCACATGCTACAGAGAAATCGTTCCTGAAAGGAAGAGTCAATCGATGTGGCAGAGTTTATTGTTACTTTATTTTAAGACATTGACACAGTCACCCCTGCCTTTAGCAACCACCACCCTGATCAGTCAGCCATCAACATCAAGGGAAGACCCTCCACCAGCAAAAAGATTATGACTTTCTGAAGACTCAGATAATGGTTAGCAATTTTTAGCAATAAAATATTTTTAAGTTAAAGTATGTACATTGTTTTTCTAAATATAATGCCATTGCATACTTCACAGACTATAGTACAGTATAAATATAACTTTTCTGTGCACTGGGGAAACCTAAAAATGTGTGACTTGCTTTATTGCAATATTCCCTCTATTGCAGCGCACTGGAAATGAACCTGCAGTATCTCCAAGATAGGCCTGTATTCTGCACTTTGCGGAAACTATTTATTTGCTGGGGATTTTGTAGATTTTTGGGGATTTTTATACATAGACAACTATGTCATCTGCGAGTAGGGACACTTCTCTTTCTTCCTTTCTGGTCTTTTATTTCCTGCCTTTTATTTCCGTTTCTCATGTCACAGGCTCCAGCTTTCAGCACTGTGTCGAATCACAGCAGTTAGAGTGGACATCTTGCCTTTCGTATTTCACCATTAAATATAATGTTACTTGTAGGCTTTTTACAGATATTTTTAATCGAGTTGAGGAAGTTCTCCACTATTCCAATTTTTCTGGTAGTTTTTGTCATGAATGGATGTTGAATTTTGTCATGTTTTTTTCTTCTTTGACATGGTTGTGATTTTTTTCTTTAGCCTATTGGTATGGTGGGTTAACTGATTTTTGAAAGTACTGAACCAGTTTTACATCCCTGGAATATACCTCAATAAATCTCTGGAAAAAATTCTTTATTATATATTGCTGATTTATATTTGATAATATTTTGTTAAGAATTTTTACATCTGTATTCATAAGGGATATTAGTTTGTGGGTTTTTAAAAATATTTTATTTATTTTTTAAAAGATTTTATTTATCTTTTGATAGAGGGGAAAGGAGGGAGAAGGAGAGAAACATCAGTATGTGGTTGCCTCTTGTGCATCCTGTACTGGGAACCTGGCCCACAACCCAGGCATGTGCCCTGACTGGGAATTGAACAAGTGACCCTTTGGTTCTCAGGCCAGTGCTCAATCCACTGAGCCACACCAGCCAGGGCTAAAACAAGATTTTATATATATTAATTATTTATTATTTTTTTTTTTTAAATTTTTTGAGGGGAGGGAGGAGGGAGAGGGAGAGAAAATTTATTTTTAGAGAGAGGAGAAGGGAGGGAGAAAAAGAGGAAGAGAAGCATGAACGTATGGTTGCCTCTTATGTGCCCCCTGCTGTGGATCTGGCCTGCAGTGCAGGCATGTGCCCTGACTGGGAATCGAACCAGTGACCTTTGGGTTCACAGGCCAGCACTCAATCCACTGAGCCATACTAGCCAGGGATGTAGGTTTTTTTACTGGCTTTGTCTGATTTTGGTATCAGGATAATATGACTTCATAAAATGAACTGGGACTTGTTTCCCATTTGTATTTTTGGAAGAAATTGTATAGAGGTAAAGTTAATTTTCCCTAAAAATCTTTGGTAGAATTCTCCATGGAAGCCATTTGGGCCTAGAATATCTATTTTGGGAGTTTTAAAATTGTGGATCAAATTTCATTAAAAGCCATTGGTTGGGTAGTTTGTAGTTTTTGAGAAATTAGTCCATTTTATATATGTTGTCAAACTTTTGTATGTAGGGTTGTTTATAGGATTTCCTTATTAGTTTTACATTTTATTCAGTTTCTTTGAAGGATTCCCTTATTAGTCCATAGATGTCTACATAGTCTTCAGTAATACCCCGTGTTTAATTTCTGACATTAATAATTTGTGTTGTCTCTTTTTTCCTTTGTCAGTTTTGCTTAGAGACTCATCAGTTTTACTGGCCAGAGAACCATCAGTTTGTTTCATTGATCTTTGTTCTTTCTGTTATCAATTTCATTTATTTCTGCTCTTAAATTTATTATTGCCTTCCCTTTACTGGCTTTGGGTTTATTTGCTCTTCTGGTTCTAGGTTCTTGGGGTGGGGCCTACATTATTGATTTGAGACTTCTCTTTTTTTTTTCAAGTTTTTAAAAATACTTAATTTTTTTAGAGAGAGAGGAAGGGAGGGAGAAAGAAAGGGAGAGAAACATGAATGTGAAAGAGAAACACGGATCAGTTGCCTCTCCTTGTGCATCCTAACTGGGACTGAAACACCACCCAGGCGTGTGGCCGGGAGTCAAACTGGATGACACCCAACCAACTGAGCCGCGTTTGTCTGGGGGCAAGAGAGACTGCTCCTCTTTTCTGGTGTGTGCATTAGTACATTTTTGTCATTGCCGCTTTAGCTGTTTTCTACAAATTTTGTTATGGTGTATTATTATTTCCATTTATTTCTATGTATTTTTAAATTTTCCTTGAGACTTTCTCTTTGACCCATGGATTATTTAGTATATTGGTTAGGTTCCAAGTGTTTGGAGATTTCCTTGTTATCCTTCTGTTACTAATGTCTGGTTTGATTTCACTGTGGTCAGAGAACATACTTTGTATGATATCAGTTCTTTTAAATTTGTTGAGGTTTGTTTTATAGCCTAACATATGGCCTCCCTTGTTTTATGTTCTGTGAACACTTGAAGAAGAATGCATATTCTGCAATTATTCAGTGGGGTGTTCTATAAATGTTGATTAGATCTTTTGATGGTGTTATGAGTTCTATATCCTTGTAGATCTTCTATCCAGTTAATCTGTAAATTGTTGAGAGAGGGGTATTAGAGTCTCTTAACTGTAATTGTGGATTTGTCTGTTTCATTTCTGTCAGTTTCTGTTTTATTTCTTTAGTGGCTCTGTCATTTGGTCCTACGCATTTAGACAAATGTGTCTTGCTGTATCTTTTTGGTGGACTGATCCTCTGTGATTATATAATGCACTTCTCTGGTAATTTTCTTTGCTCTAAATTCTACTTTATTTGGTATTAATGCATATAAAAATGTGATTTAAATTTAAATTTAAATAGGCACATGTGGCTGGTGGCTTCCATAATAACAGTGCAGTTCTGGAAGATGGAGAGAGCTATGACACAATAAATTTAATTAAAAGGTAAAATTTATCATATGTTAAAAAGTGTTAAGAGCAGTGGGTGGTTAGCAGGGAAAGGAGAATGAACGGGGCAGAGGGAGTGGGGGATATGATTGTAAATTGGGTGATCAAGGAAGAAGTTATTGAATGAGACAGTTGAACAAAGATTTGAAGGAGTGAGAAAGCGGTGCATTTTATACCTTGAGGAAGAGTATCAAAGGCCATCAGGGAGGTGGGCAATGGTAAGAATGTTAGTTTTTACTCTGAGTGACATGGAGATACACTTGAGGATTTATAGCAGACCCTGATTCAGTCTGACTTACGTTGAATGAAGATCATTCTGGCTGGTAAGTTGAAAATAAACTGTAGGGGTTAAGGGTTGGAATTAGATCATTTAGGAGGTAAGAACACAGGTGATGATAGCCAATCAGATGATTAGAGTAGATTTTGGGTATCATATCAAACATTTAGTTGTGGATATTGTTAAGTTCAAAATGTGTATTAGGCAAAGAAAGCATGTAGACTGCCTGCTGTTGTAGAGCTCATGCTTTACCAGAATATGGCTAGTAAATACAATAAATAAGTAAAACAAATAAAATAATGTACTATGTTAGAAGATAATTAAGTGTTACTGGGAAAATTCAAGTAAGGGAAGAAGGATGAAGTGGTGTTAGGGGACTGACTTCTGAGATGGTAACATTTGAGTAATGATAGGAAGGCAGTGGGAAATAATACCTGGGGGAATAGTAATTCTGCAAAGGGAACCAAGGTGTTAAGGTTCTCAGGTGGGAGTCTGCCTAATGTGTTTGAGGAAGAGTAAGGAGGTACAATGTGGCTGGAACGATGAGCAATGAAAAAGGACGGGGATGACATCACTGAGGTAACAAGTATGTGGGTTGCACACCCTATTAAGGGCTCTGGCTTTTACCCTGCTGTGAGATAGGGAGCTTAGTGGATAGTTTAACAGAAGAGAGGCATGATCCAACCGATTGTTTAAGTTACTCTGATTGATTTGCTAAATAGATTGAAGGGGCAAGAGTGGAAATAGAAAGATTGGTTAGGAGACTGTTAATAGTAATCAAGGCAAGAAGCTGTGGTAGCACTGAGGATGGTGAGGAATGATTATATTCTGGATACATTTTATGGGTTGTACTCACAAAAATGGCTTGCTGATTGGATGTGGGATGGGAAGAGTCAAGAATTATTCCAAGATTTTTGACCTGAGCAGTTGGAAGGACAGAGTTGCATTGAGATAGTAAAGACTGAGAGGAGCAGTTTGGAAAGAGATGATCGGGAGCTCAGTTTTGGACATCCTGAGTTTGTGATGCCTATTAGACACCCAAATGTGGGTGTTCAGTACTGTTTTACGGTTTTTCTTCACCAAAATAATGATATTACAACAGTGTGCTCACTGTTCTGAAAATGTTACATTTGTTAAGATTTAACTATTTAACATGTTTGACCCTGGCAACAGTTGAATATTTTGAAGAGGGAGAAATTGTTTGACTTTGCTGCCAAAGTTGATGGTACTTCCTTAGAGTTAACTAATGACATTCCAACTTTAGAAATGAAAAGTAACTATATAGTCTCAGTGTTTCTACTTGCTTTCTATTTTAGGTCCTATTACTGCTGGATTGTGCAAGATATTTAACCCTGTTTTCTTTGAGGTATGACTTAAATGTTAAACGTCTTACATATTAAAAGGGAAACATTTTAGTTTTGGAAGTCAGAATGCCAAGGAGAAGGAAAAATCTTGGGGGAAGTCCTTTTCGGAAGACTGCAAACTTTAAGGAAGTTGTATCCAGTGTTGCTAGTCATGAGGAGCCAACTACTCTTCCTTCCATGTGTGAAACAAAAGAGAAGGAAGAACTCTTCATCAATATCTCAGAGATGTTTTCTGATCTGGATCCCGATGTAGTGTATTTGATGCTCTCTGAATGTGATTTCAAAGGTGAGAAAAAGTTTAGTTTGAACCCTTTGTATCTTATAAGAAGACTTCATGTACTATACCATGACCAGTAGTATTATAGAAAAATGACTGCCTTGTTTCTATCTTGTTCATCACTTACTGAGCATCTGCTGTGGGAAAGGTTCTAAATTGGGTATTATGAGGGATAGGAAGAAGAGGGATATGTGGTTTCTGCTTTCAAGAAATGTACAGTTCTTGATGTAAGATGTATGTATAATTATCATATTGTTTTATTTTTTACCTCCTTGCTAGACCAGGTTGGCACTATTGATGTTTTAAACTAGATAATTATTTCCTGTGAGTGGCTTTCTTGTGCATTGTAGGATATTCAGTAGCATCCCTGGCCTGTACCCACTAGATCCCGATGGCATGTCCCCCAATCCCTAGTTGTGACAATTAAAAATTTCTCCATATATTGTCATTGTTCCTTGGGGGTCAAAATCATCCCTAGCTGAGAACAACTGTCCTAGAATGTAAGCTCCATAAAGACAGATTTTAAAAACTATTTCGTTTCTGTTTTTTTTTTTACTGTTATATCCCCAGCCACTAATACAGCAAATGACTCTTAGTAGGACTTCAGTAACTATTTATTGAGTGGAAAGGTAATTATAATTGTGGGAATGAGAGCTGATAAAGGTTGAGGCTAGTAGAGTAGTATGGTTTCAAAACAATGGCTTTGGAGTCAAGAAACCTGGGTTGGATTTCTAGCTCTGCAGCTTAGCCTCTTTGGGTCTCAGTTTTCATATCTGTTAATGAGAAAAATAGTAGTACATAACTCATATTACTTATTTGGTGAGGATCAAGGGGGGTGTGTGTGTTGGTAAAGCCTTCAACCTAGTGAGTTATTAATGACTTGTAATAAATTATTTAGAAGTATGTTTGCTTCAGAAGGGGCAGTATCAAAGTTAACTGGATGAGTAAATTAAATGTTGATGCTTAGTATTGCTATTGACTATAATTACTATAAGATAAAATTATTGTAGATTTGGAATGTCTTGGTAATTCATAATAAACTTCCATTTTTATTTATCCCATGGTCTGTGATATGAGTATATGTATCCTGTTATGATGTAAATGCAGGAAAACCAATTTTCAGCAGTCCACATGATGCTCAGAAATAATGGTGTGTAGAATTTTATAAGTGTGGTTTCCATATGTATTTCCTAATTTTGATGTTTTAAAAATTTATTTGTTGCATCTAAACTAACATAGCAATGAGGAATTAGAAGAAAAATATTACCCCCATTCCTAACAAAAATAATTTTTTCTAGGATCTTCTCTACACCTTGCTCATTAATACTGATAATTTTGAGTAGTTTGAATAGAAGCATTGATGAAATTGCATATTCAGCTTTTTAAACTTAACCTAATAATTTTTTCACTGTTGCTGGAATCTTTAAATTTATTTTTATTAGTTTTCTACTGAGTTGTGTTCTAAGTTATTTAATTATATATCTAAGTTTTTTATGAATAATTAATATTTCAGAAATACCTTGGTACAAATAGTTTTTCTTTCTTTTGGCCTTTTTTCCTTATTCCTCAAGTTTTATTTCTTAGGGGTCAGAGCAGTTTTCAGCTCTTGGAAACACTGCAAAATTGCCTTCCAAGGAGGTATAATAACACCAGCCTCGTATAAATATAGTGGTTTCATTGTAGCCTTTTCAGAATTGTGTAGTGGTGTTTTAAGATTTTAATAGGAATAAAATTACTTTTCTTAAGTTGTATTTCTTTATTTTTTTGTTTTTTTTTAAGTAAAGAGGAATGTGTAACATTTTGTATATAAGTTATTCATTAATTCTTGTATGAATTGTTTATGTTTTTGTTTGTTTACCATTTTAATATTTTTCAGCAGTCTGTATAAGGACTTCTCATTTGTGTGATATATGTCTTGACCTTTTATTTTAATTTAATACTGCTCTTTCTTTTAGACATATTAATTTTTTTTGGTTCATCCTGTCTTTTGTGGTTTTTCAATCATGTATATTTTCTTTCATAGAAATACCTGTTCTATTTTCTTTCTTTTTTTCCTGTGGTTAGGGCTTCTAGCTTTTGTAGTAGTGTTGCTATAATCTCCTAACTGATCTCTGTCAGGCTTCTCCCCTCCAATGCATCTTTGTTTTTCTTCTTAAGGGAACATTAATTGGGTGCTTACTAGGTGCCAGTCCTTGTGCACAGCAATTTTTCATGGATTATCTCATTTAATCCTCACAGCCACCCTATGAGGTAGGTACTTTTATTATCCCCATATTGCAAATGAGAAGATCAGGCTTAGGAAAGTTAAATAACATGTTCAAAGTATCATAACCAGCAAGTAGGGATTTAAATGCTGGTGTTCTGACTCCGTATGAGAGCTGTTACCTGCTGTGCTGTGTTGTTTCCATATTTATCTTTCTTAAAAGAACAGAAGACAGAACATAAACATAAAACAAAAAAGCCGCAAATTTCAAATGCTTCACAATTCTAATGGCTCCCTGTGTGTGTTGTAATGTAATGGGAAGAGCTCAGCATTGGAGTCAGACTTACCAGTCATGGGTCTGTCACTTATTATCTGTGTGACTTGGGCCTAGGTAATGTACTTCTTGAATTTGATTTTCTTTATCTATTTGTTGGGAATTCTATACCTCATAGTATTTTTTGAGGACTCAGTGAGGTGGTGCATATAATACTTTTAGCCCAAATTCCAGTTCCCTTAGAAAAAAAAAATAGGTATTTCTTACCATGACGTACAGGACACCTTCAGATTTCCCCTCATCTCCCTTTTCCAGTTTTATCTCCTTCTCTCATCCCTTATACTGTTGTGTGTCCCCCAGCTTCTTTTAATACCTTAAACATGCTTTGTGTATTCAGGACTGGCTTTGCCTTTCCCTTCCGTGTATGACAGGTTTCTTTTTACTCCTCAAGTTCTAGTTCCCATATCACCCTATGTGAACTCTTTCCTTACTTTCCTATAAGACTGCTATGGCATTTGTATATTAAAAATGTGTATTATTTAATTTGTAATATAATTGTCTACTAATGTAATTATCTTTAATTGCCTCCATTACACTGCAGAAAATCCTTAAAACAGTTTTTTTATTTTTAAAAGTAATTTTTCAGTTAAAGTTGACATACAATATTATATTAGTTTCAGATATACAGTGTAGTGATAAGACATTTACATACGTTATGAAGTGATTACCTTGATAAGTCTGTACTCATCTGGTACCATACACTGTTATTATAATATTATTGGCTATTCCATACACTGTACTTTATATCTCTGTGACTGTTTTTATAACTGGCAGTTTTTATTTATTAATCTACACAATTCCTTTATGTATAGTAAAACAGTATTTTACCCGTCTTTGTACAAAGTATATCTGATATGCAGGTACATGAGCTTACATATTTTTTTTTTACTAAGTAAAATTCATAGCATGGACCACGTCATCAAATTATATTTACTAGAAGAGAAATGTAAATACTTTTTATTTAAAGGACAAGTGGTAGGTAAGTATTTTGTCTAAATCAACTGGTTTTAGGATCTTTAGAAATAACCCTAGGCCATACAGTTGCATATCTTTTTACATTTACTCGGTAAATTCATCAGAGACGGTCTACTTGATGGCAGTTTTTATTAACCTAATTTGATACTATCTGTAAGTAACAGCACTGCAATGGTAGTTTTTATTAACCTAATTTGATACTATTTGTAAGTAACAGCATTGCATGGCTGTATCTTTCAGACCTCTCACTAATACAGACTGGTGTATTAGTAAAGTATTTTAAGATTTGAATATTTATGAATTTCTCTAAATTCTAATCAATGTAAAATCTAGTATAATTACATGTATATTTTAATCAAATTATAATTTTACTGTTTTCAATACATATAGGTATATATTTTATTGCTGTTATTCTTATTGTTGTACAGTTGACATTGTCATGGATAGTTTATTAGAATTATCTGCCAATGATACCAAGATAAAAGGATCGTCTTCAAAGAGCATCATTGCTTCTGAGAACCAAGTAAGTGCAGTAGGACATGAAATAATGGAAAAGTGTCCTGAAGAAGAGAGTGAAGATTCAAAAGTGAATTCCAACTTGGACCTGAACCTAACTGAAGACTTGGATTCTTTAATTCAGAATGCTTTTGAGAACTTGAACTCTCCTTCTGGTGACAAAGTATACTCATTTTTGCCTTCACAAGATGTTAATAGTTTTAGTGACCAGAGTGCATTTATAAATTCAGATTCAAGTGGTATGACTCCCATTCTTTCTACAGAAAATATGGATTCAAACAGTGAAAATTTAGAGAATTCTACTTTAAGTTCAAACCCTTTGACTTCACAGTCGGTTTCAAATGAGTTCAAAAATTGTGTAAAGGATAACACATTGGAAGATTCTCTTCTCAGTAGTTCTTCAAATGAAGGAAGCGACACTGTGGTGGGTTGTAGCAATCTTGATCAAAGAGAGAAAGAGGTCTTAGAATCTGAGTGTGTTGAAACTCAGTTCTCTCAAGCCGCTGCAGATTTGGATGCTAATGAACCTCAGGCTCCTTTAACCCATACTGGGCAAAATCCAGGGCTTGGTTTACTAGGTACAGGTGGGAATCAGAAATCTACTTCTGTCCCTGATGTGTTTGTACCTTCTGAAGAATTCAGTTTCAAGCCACACAAGCATAATGAATTGCCACCAAAGAGGAAGGCTGTAAATTACTGTCCAGTACTTACACCTATCCCTGTACTGATGCCTCCTCCACCTCCACCAATGTGGAATCCACTGATGCCTGCTTTTGACCTCTTTCAAGGAAACTGTGGCTTTGTAGCTCCTATTACCACAGCTACACCCTGGAGACCTGTCAACTTTACATTTCCTTCCCCAGTCATTTCTCACCCTTTCCCAGCAAAGGTATGGAGAAACAAAGAAAGAACAAGTGCTTATCAAGTACAAGAAACTCCAGTTACTCAGGTTGTAAGAAAGAAGACATCTTATGTTGGACTAATTCTCGTACTTCTCAGAGGGCTTCCGGGATCGGGAAAATCTTTTTTGGCAAGGTATGAGGTTTAATTGAATTTTCCAAAGTATAGCGCACGACCCTGAACATTTGTAAAATAGGGTATGAATATGTGCTTTTGCTTAATCCAGATGTTTAGTAACCCCTAAAATGTTTTCCTCCTACTGATTTTTTTCTGACTTTGTGACTAACTGCACTATTTTCACTAGAAACTTTTATTGATTTTTTTCACCTTAGATTATCATTTTAAGAGGTGGAATAAAAGAAAAAAATTAAAGATGATTCTAAGATTGTGAGTTTGTGAAATCAATAGAAACAGCTTTATGGGAAAGAAAACTAATTTGAGTGGGAGAAAGATGAGTTCCTCTTTGATTAGAGTTAAATAGCCATAATAGATTTTGAATTCAAGAAAGTCTTTGATACAAGAATTTTACTGGTAATTGGGAATTTGGGATTGTAGCATGTTAAGTAATGCTTTTAGAAATGTGTGATTTGAAGGAAGAGAGCATAGGATGAGTCACTGGTAGTCAGAGAACTTGTAAGATACAGTACCCTCCATTATTTTGTCTTATATTCATCTGTGGGCCTTTCGTAGTTAAGGAAGGTTGTCAGTGCCTTGGTTGGAGAGAACTGGAGTCAGGGTTTAGGGGCAGCTTTGTTGTGTTTTCAGTGGTACTAGTTAAAGAGCACTGCTTTCAAAGTGTCTCCCCCTTAGCCTTTAATTTCCCGAAGATTTTAATATGTAATATATTTTATTTGCCAGTTCTTTCATTTTCTTTCATATTTTAACTCATTGCTCTCAGCTGGTCTTAGCTGGGTCTTTTTTGTTTGGTCATGGCTGTATCTGGTCTTAGTAAACATGCATATATGCTTGGAAATGTCCTTGATAAACTCATTTTCAGTTGATTTGTGATATGCTTTCCTTGTTTAGATTTATCTCCCAGTAAATTTTTACATGTTCTACTCATACACTTGTAAGTATATGCTTCTATAGATGTATTATATAGGGTTTTTCTCATTGATTTAATGACTACAGCAATAATAAAACGTTTAAACTCAATATAATGGATATTGAAATCAGTCATGATACTACTACATTTTGTGAAAAATTGGAATGAAAGGTGCTATCTTTTGGAATGAAAGGTAATAGAACTGTGGCATAGTTTAGATTTCAGGGCCCTTAGGGCAGGAGGCAGGTACAGTTAGAAAATGGGAAGAGAAAGAAGTGTTTTTGACCTTGGTCTGGTAGCTCAGTTGGTTAGATAGACGAAGTTTTCGGTTCAGTCCCTGGTCAGGACACATACAAGAATCAACCAATGAAGGCATAAATATGTAGAATAGCAAAAGAGTGTTTCTCCCTCTCTTCACCCCTTTCCTCCCTTCCTTTTCTCTCTAAAATGAACAAGAAAGAATCACTTTTCACAAAGTAGGAACTTAGACACACATACACACAAACATACATATGTATATATATATTTACTTATTTAATTTTTATGATTTTATTTACTTTTAGAGAGAAGGTAAGGAAGGGAGAAAAGGACAGAAACATCAGTGTGTGATTGCCTCTCATGTGCCCCCTACTGGAGACCTGGCCTGCAACCCAGGCATGTGCCCTAACTGGGAATCAAACCAATGCCCCGCCCTTTGGTTTGCAGGCCCCAGGCTCAGTCCACTGAGCAATATCAGCCAGTGCTAACACTTAGTAGTAACTGGGAGGTGTAGAGACACATAAGCCAAGTTTTTTCAGAGAGACTAGTGCACAAGCCCAGGGAAAATAAGGGCTGAAAAAGGCTTTTGGACTTAGTGTAAAGGAGGTCAGGAATGGCTGTCTTAAAAACAATTTTGTTTCACTGTTAAGGGTAGGGGGAGGGAAGGGTAAAGGGAGCATTGATAATAAAGCAGTTAAGGGAAGGAGAGAAGGTAGGTAATAGTGGAAAGGGGTTCTAGAAGTGTGGTGAAAAATTTTAAAGATAGCTGAGATGTGTACATGTTTAAAGGGAAAAGAGGAAGTGTCAGAGAAGGAAAAACCTAACACATAAAAGAGGATAAATGTAGGAGTCTCAGAAGGTGGTGAGATCAAGTGAGCACTCACTAGACTGTAAGTTCCATGAATGTAAGAATTTTTACCTTTTTCACTGATGTGTGCTCAGTGCTTAAAGGCAGCAGTGCTTGGCAGGTGCTAATAAACTTAGGTGCTAATAAAAGTTATATTCAGATATTTTAGCTGGTGGGTACATTCAAACATATTTTAGACGAGAGAATAAACAGTGATATTTTACATATGGTCAAGAATGGTAGCATTGTTGTATTCTATTTGTTTAGTTTTTGTATGTATTTCAGTTATGTACAAGATATATCCCAAAATTGGGAGAGATAAAAAAAATTCCATGAAACTGTTTTAGCTTTGTATAATTTAACAGGTTAAATTAATAGTCTATTAACATTATATTTTGGGATGGTTTTGGCACACTCAACTAAATTTATAGCAATATATATACAAAGAACAATCTGCTTTTGAAAATACTGTGTACCAAGGGAGCTGCCCACTTTGAAGTGACCTTGCACTTAGGGTAGGTGAAGATCGTTCTGTATCAAGTGACCAGATTAGGGGGATGAGATTCTGAAACATTTTAAGTTACCAAGTTTTTGTGATAATTAAAAATCTGTTAATCTTTAAACCTTTATAGTTAAGGGTAAATACCTTTATAACATTTCTGAAATAATGCTTTATATAAAGCAAAATAGACTTGCCTTAGGTCAGTTGCCTTGGGAGTCAAACTTCTACAGAGTTTGTGGTGGACTCTGGCTAGCAGAGTCTGCCTGTTGTGGCTGACGACGAGAGTAAATGCACAGGCGACAACAACCCTGTGCGGAAAAAGGGAACAGGCACGACCACTCTCTCAAGGGGAGAGTGCCTATGGTGCCTCGGCCACTCCCTCCAGAGGGGAGCGCCCCGACCCTTGCCTAGACAGTCTTTTATTGTTTTCCTGGGGTCTTACATCAGAGAAGGATTTATTATCTATCACACAGAATATTATTGTCTACATTTTAGGTACATTCAAGGAAATAAAAATAACATGCAGAGGGGAATGGCGATGAGCTGATTAGCTCTGTCCTTGGGAGAGCTCACACAGGCTTTGGAAGTTACCTTGAAGATAGACAATACACATTTGTTGTTTTAGACCAGGGTGATGGAGTTTTAGCAAGAGCAAGCCATAACAGTCTGTGTGCATTTTCTAGGCCTGATTCCCACGAGAAAACTCGGTTTGAAGGTCTGGCTCCTGCCCACCACTTAGTTTCTGCAGGTTTTCCATACAGAGCTGAGTCATGTTTGCCAGACCTAAAACAAACTGGTCCCCTACAGAGTTTCTAATGTGATTTGTTTGAATATTATGATATCCTCACTCTTTTAAATAATAATAATTGAATTTTTAATTTGGGTTATGATCTTATAAAAATTAGAGAATTAAGAAAAAGTTATGAAAAGAATTCCATTTATCATTTACAGGACTTTGCAAGAGGATAATCCGAGTGGAATCATTCTTAGTACTGATGATTATTTTTATATAAATGGACAGTACCAGTTTGACGCAAAGTACTTAGGAGAAGCACATGAATGGAACCAGAATCGTGGTAAGAATAGATATCAGATTCCAGATAATATTGAATAATATAAAGAAAAAATTCTCTTAGTACTTGTATTTTGAGACATACAACTTTTTAAAAAGGTTATAATAAACTTGAATTTATAACTAGATTTCTAATATACATAAAATTATAACTATTCTTATGTTACTTAATAAAGTAAATGACATCTCAAAACTGTTATGAATATTAAGTGCGGTGATTTTTGTAATATGCATAGAACATGTACGGCATGTTTAAGTTTCATGTAATCAATGGGGATCTTGTCAGAAGTAAATCAGATTTTCTACTTGGGTCTCAGAATAGCTCAAGTTGGTTACAGTTGTCTGGTGTGATTTGGTTCCAGTTTTCCAAGACGGAGTTTGCATTGATAGCCACCAGTCTTTCCTAGGTTGGTTTAATTTTTTTTTAAATTAATTTTATTTAGTTATTTTTCAAGTACAGTTTTTTGTCTATTTCTCCTATCCCAGCCTCCCCCGCCCCTTGCTCCCCTAGGTTGGTTTAATTTTAATGGAAGGTAGTAAAAGAGTAAAAATGGCTTTCCTCAAACTGATTCTGCAGGGAGATCATAGGTAAAATTTGCACTTCTTTATTGATACAAGTGTCTATTCATTGAAGATAGTTTTTGTCATGAAATGTTTAGTTACAATGAATGGTTTGAATTTCATATGGGGAATTTTTTAAATTGAATTTACTTTTTAGAGAGAGGGGAAGGGAGAGAGAAGGAGAGAGAAACACTGACGTGTGAGAGACATCTGTTGTTGCCTCTCACAACCCAGGGAACCTGGCTCACAGCCCAGCCATGTGCCCTGACTGGGAGTTGAACCAGTGACCTTTCAGTTCACAGGCCAGTGCTCAATCCACTGAGCCCCACCAGCCGGGGCTGTATGGGGAATTCTTATTGAGACACATAAACAGTATTTTACTTAGACTTTCTTTTATGGTAAATGCACCGTGTAGGACATACTTGAGTTTGCTATCTCCAGATATTGTTAACTTTTTCTGTATTCCTTCTTTGAACTAAATACAAGGTGGGCAAATAATAGGCTTACAGTTGTGAGTACACATTTTATTCTTCATTAATTATGGTATTTTTCATACAAACAACTGTAAACCTACTTTGCCCCACCCTATATTAAAGTGACAACTTCAGAATATGTAAATACCAACACAACTAAAACTGAAAAAAACCCCAGTATGACAGTGTTACAGAATAGGCACACACACACCCAGGGCCAAGGGGGGTACGATATACTGTGACCAAAAGGAACCCCCATTAGGATCGGTTGTCTGTCGTCATAGGAAAGACATCTCTCAATGCCAGAGATTTTTGAAATGGAGAGGAAATGTTTATTTAATGCTATACAGACTTAAAGTACTGACCTAACGTCTTCAATAAAATATCAAAGTCTTTTAGGATACCCACAGACGCCCACAGTGCTTCCTTCTCCCCCTGCCCTAACTTGAGGTACTGTAACTCAGGAAAAGAAGCACAAGTCTGTGTTTCCGGCCACTGGCACCTTCAGCTGTGTTGCTGTCCAGGCAGGATCTCTAATTAATCCAAAGCCATGTGGCACCTTCTCATGGTCTACTGGCAAGAGTTCTTTGTATCCATTTTCCAGGCAAAGTCTCTCCTGCTTCCCAGGCCACGTGGCCAAAGGGAGCACCCCAAAGCCGTGTGGTCCTCTTCTACCAAAGCTGCAGGGGTCCCCACTCTGGCCAAAACCTCATGGTTTTTCTCTCCACCAAAGCTGCAGGGAGCGGGGTGTGGTGGGGGGGGTCACCACACTGCCAAAGCTGAGTGGCGAGTCTCTGCTAAAGCCACATGCTGATTCTCCCTCACATGGCTGTAGGAGTCCCCACTCTGGCCAAAAGTGCGAGGCTCTCTTCTTCAATGGCTGCCGAGTCTGGGTTTAAATCCGCATGCCAATATTCCTCTGTGCCCCATTTCTGACTCCTCCTACAATCAGTTACACCTGCCAGCACTCCTGTATTATTCCAAGTTTACTGGGTGGCCATCTTGAGTCTGGGCAGGTATGGCCCCATGTCATGGAGCCAGTCTTTTCCAAGCTGTCACCCAGGCTATGTAACCTGGGGGACCTGCCCCAGTTACATCTCGGGGAAATCCCATTCTATCTCCCTGGCTCAGAGCATAGCCACAGCTATTTAACATATCTATGCAACCAGTTAAAGGTTATAGATATGTTAAATGACCATGCCAGAGTTTAGCTGCAAAGCTGTTGCTGTACAAAACAGCTCTCAGTGGCCCTGCTCCATTTGTCCCTTCCCCCAACACACCTGTGACCTGTGGGGGGAAGGGGTGAGGACACTCATATATCTTTCTAATATTTCCTGGACACTTTGAGTTCTGGACTCCATTCCAAATCCGCATTAGGGGCCCCCCTCTTGGCTGCACCCTGTTAAAGTAGGTTGAAGAGCAATCTTGGATTTGCTAGTTACTAGTTGTGCAAATTGTGTCTCCAAGTCCCACTGTTGTCTTCATCTGTAAATCCCTAGGATTATTGTAAGTGGTAAAGGAGAATAAAGAATGCTTAGTAGTGGTTCAGCATGCCTTTGCTACAGCAACAACCACAGCAGAAATAATATTAAATTAATAGGCAGAGCACTTGTTTCACCAACTTTATTGAGATATGTTCACATGGTTTTTAGTGTAGTCAGAGTTGTACAACCATCACTACAATCAATTTTAGAATATTTTTATCACTTCAAAAAGGTCCTGTACCCATCAGAAGCCATTCCTCATTTCTTTCCAACCTCTCCCAACCCTAGGCAACCACTAATCTACTGTCTATCTCTATAGGTTTGCCTGTTCTGGACATTTCATATAAATGTGATCATGTGATATGTGGTCTTTATAAATGGTGTCTTTCACTTAGCATGTTCCCAAGATTCATCCATTTCGTAGTGGGTATCAGTACCTCATTCCTTCTTATGGCTGAATAATAGTCCATTGTGTGGATATGCCGTTTTATTTATTCATTCATCAGTTGTTCAGCATTTGGGTTGTTTCTAGCTTTTGGCTATTATGAGTAATGTTGCTGTAAACATACATGTGTATGTCTCGTATCTAGGAACTGTTAAGCTGTTTTCTAAAGCAACTGCACAATTTTACATTCTCACTAGTAGTTTGGAAAGGTTCTAGCTTGCCCACATCATCACCAACTCTTACTATTATCTATCTTTTTATTGTAGCTGTTCTGGTGGTGGCGAAGTGGTATCTCTGTGGTTTTCATTTGCATTTCCCTGATGGCTAATGATGTTGAGAATCTTTTTGTGTGCTTATTCATTATTTGTTGATCTGCTTTGAAAAGCTGTCTGTTTAAGTCTTTTGCCATTGTTACATTGGATTATTTGTCTTTTCATTATTGAGTTGCAAGAGAGAGTACAGAACTTTTAAAACTTTCAAGTAATTCTGTTGTAAGGCTTATTCATTATGGTCCATTATTAATTTCTTGAATGGCGTAATTTCTTGAGGAAAAGGTAGTTTTATAAGAAAATCTCTTACACAACAGTGTATAGTAATGTTTTTATTTCAAAGCATTACATCTTAGTTTTCTTTGGTTTTGTTTATAGTTTTTTGTTTGTTTTTAACTTCTTTTTGGAATAATTTTAGGTTTATGGAAAGGTTGCAAAGGTAGTGTAGAGTTCCTATTGTGTATATAGCTCACCCATTTTCCCCTAATGTTAACATCTTATGTAACCATGATACCTTTGTTAAGACTAAGAAATTAACATTGGTACCAGAAAGGGTTCCTGGACCCTGTTTCAACACATGCGCGTGCGCCCACGTGTGTGTGTGTGTGTATGTATAGTTTTCCCCACACCAGTAAGCAAGTCTTGGACACACCAGGATGTCCAAGAATTCACCTTGATTCTGACACTTTGTCTGGAAATAGATTCCATATGTAAAGGGTTCCGTTCCACAAGACTGTCCTTCACTTTAAATGCCAGTGGAAAGCGCAAGTTCTTAGCTGTGCTTCTAACCCATGGGCCACAATTGGAGGTTACATTGACCCCCCCACCTTGGGTTTAATTAATTTGCTAGAGTGTCTCACAGAATTCAGGAAAACTTGTTTACTTACAAGATTACCAAGTTGTTATTATTATTATTTTTAGTTTTAATATATTTTATTGATTATGGTATTACAGTTATCCCATTTTTTTCTCCCCTTTATTCCCCTGTGCCCCCCTACCATCATTTCCCCACCTTAGTTCATGTAAGATTACCAAATTATTATAAAAGGATTAACTCGGGAACAGCCAGATGGGAACGATTCACTGGAAAGGTATGGGGAAAAGGCTCGGAGCATCTGTGCCCTTGATTCCAGGCTCACCACTCTCCCAGCACCAACACATGTTCACTAGCACTAGCCTGCAATTTCTGTGAACTCGGTCATTTTGGGTTTAATGGAGGCTTCATTACATAGGTGTGATTGATTAAATCATTGGCTCTAGGTGATTGAACTCAATCTTCACTCCCTCTCTCCAACCCCTAGGTCTTAGAGTGAGGCTGGTAGTTTCAGTCTTTGAATTACCAGTTTAGCAGCAGCTGGAAACCAGCCCCATCCTTAGGTGCATTCCAGAAGTCATTTTATTAACATAAGAAACACCTTTTAAGTTCTCATCACTTAGGAAATTCCAAGGGTTTTTGGAGTTCTGTGCCAGAGATAGGATGAAGACCAAATATCTGTTTTTTTATTAGACATTTTAATATCACAGGTACATTACTATTAAATAAACTCCATGTTTTATTTGGATTTGGTTTTTCTACAAAAATCCTTTTCTGTTGAGACTTAATCAGGATTAGCATAATAAATACATATAAAAAGTAATAAACATTTGTATAAATATATATTATATATAACACTATAGAATATAAATATACAGCATATGTTATATATAATACATATATATGTTATATTATAAACATACTTATATACATAAATATATGCTAATTTATAGCATATAATACAAACACATATTTATAATATAAATATTTAAATATACCAACATCATATACTATAATAAGTATATATTTATAACTATATACATATATATGAATACTTATAAATATATTCGGGTGTGTGTGTAAATATCATAATCCTGGTTACGAGTCTCAACAGAAAAGGACTTTTGAGAAAACTAAAGTCCAAATAAGGTATGGAATTTATTTGATAATAATGTACCTGTGATATTAAAATATCTAATTTATAAATATATTACATTATAATGTATTATAAATAATACATTTATGTGTAATGTATAAATATATGTAAAACATGTATATTTTAATCCTCATTTTTCATATTTATTCATTCATTCATTTTTATTTATTATATTTATTCATTATTTTAAAAAAGAGAGAGAGGGAAACAAACATCGATGTGAGAGAGAAACACTGATCGGTTGGTTGTCTCCTGTATGTGCCTCAACCAGGTTTCGAATCTTCAACCTTTGGTGTATAGGATGATGCTCCAACCACTGTGCTACCTGGCCAGGGCTTGGCGTATTTTTAACGATGGCTGTTTTTTAAATTTATGCTGTTAATCCATGTAACACATAAATCTTAGATCACATAGTTTTTATTTAATAATTTCCTCTTAGTATTACTTTAGTATTTATTATTCAAATTATTATTCAATGTCTACCTGTACTTTAATTTTTTGTATACTCAGAAGTGATATTTAAAAGTAGAGTTGTGAGTAAAATGAGCACATATCTATAATTTTCAAATTATAAAAAAATCAGATTTTTAAAATAGCACGGTCATACTTAATATTATTATTAAAATGATTTTCTCTGTTTTTCAGCAAAAGAAGCATTTGAAAAGAAGGTATCTCCTATAATAATAGATAATACAAATCTACAGGCATGGGAAATGAAGCCATATGTCGCTTTGGTTTGTACCATATGTTGTTATAAGTCTCTCATAGTGGGTTTGGAATTATTTGGTATATTAATGACATAAGTGAATCTCAAGCAAACAGTTCTTGGACTGTCTGTAATTGAGCTTTCTCTGAAAATGAGAAAAGCAGGAATAGTTTTTCCATGAAGGTAAATTTTTTCAGTTTTTAGGTTCTGAGATTTAATATTTAAATTCTAATATTATTTTTTGGTTTTTGATGTCTTTTATGAAAAGGTAATGGTATTATAAACTTATGTGTGTGGATATAGATAGGTTTGTGTGTGTATATATATATCTATGTGTGTGTATACATATATATATATGTATGTATATACATACATACATATATATATGTATACACACACTGTTTGTTTGTTTGTTTTTCTTACTGTCCTTATTTGGGAGAAGCAAAATTTGTTGGTCCTTGTTGTTATCTAAATTTCTTTTGAAATTTTGCTATTCTGAGACGTGCAGAATTTTGTAAACTCAACTATTTTTACTTATCTGAATTTGCCAGATTCCTTTTTTGCCCAGCTTTGATGTCATGTTTTTTAGGAAGTTAGCATTAATTAACTTACTAAAAAGTTGAGTCGGTTACCTTTCTGCTTTCATGGCATCCTGGCTTGCTGCGTCATGGCATAAAGCACACTGTTTTTATCAGTAGGCCATGGGGTTGGCCCTATAAAATGCCAGATAGTAAATATTTTAGGTTTTACAGGCCACATACAGTCTCTTTTGCATATTTTTTCTTTTATTTTTAAAGAAACTTTTAAAGATGTGAAAACTATTCTTCACTCCTAGGCTGTACAAATATTGGCTGGTGGGCTGTATTTGGCGGTAGGCCATCTATATATTCTTGAGGGTAGGACTGTTGTTTTACTCATCATTGAATTAACAAGGCATAGCACTATGGTTGGCATACAGTAAATATATATTCCTTGAGTAAATTGATGAATGAAGTGTTTGTGAGTATGGAGTATTGTTGGGTTTATTCCCCAAGATTAGCACATGCCTGGCATATGAAGCTCCAGTTATGCTTCTTTAGTGAGTAAATTTTATGCACATCTAGCCTGTACCTCCTTTGCTGTGTCTAGTGCACTTGTACTATCTTGAAGGTGTGACTCTTCATTTTTCTGAAGAAAATTATGTGTCCTTTGAAAGCACATGTGATTTTATGTCTGCGTAGAGGCAATAATGGAAATAAAAGGACTCAATTTTAGTGTATTGGGAGCTGAAATTCTGTTTGCTTTCTGGCCTTAAGAGTTCCTAATTTCTACACCAATGTATTCACCATAGGATCATGCTTTCCTCCTTACTTGACTTCTCTGTAGGTTTTCCTTGGCTTTCTGCTGTCATCTTAGAATGTTCTTTAACACTTTATTTTCCTACATGGATAAGAAAGGCGGCCTCAGATTACTGTTTCTGATTTTCATTTATCCTTCTGCCTCCTATGTTTGCTTTTTTTCTCTCTTATATAATAATTGAAAACATAAAGCTATTTTTTCAGTATTAATTCCTTGGCTTTTTCCAACTCAGAAGTATAAAGGACTCTTGCTTTTTGTAGAGTACCATACTCATTTTTTCTATGAAGAAGTAGGCATAGGAATTACTGTAGAGAAAGAGAATCACTTTTTGCTTTTAGCAGCAAGATAATAAGAGCTGTGGAGGAGTAGGGTAGATGGACGACAACCACCTCTTACTACCTTGCCTGTCACTTACAAAAGTAGCTCGGCAGTGAGTTGGCGATAAGTAGGGGGCAGTCAAGTGTGCTTGGTGGCAGCGGGCAAAACTTACTACTTTGCTTTAAATATATATGTGTATCTTCCCTTGTGGGCTGTTACATAACTTGATACAAGTCAGTCAGAATCCTCCAGTAATATATTATTAAGATTTTTCTATTGATAATGGGAATTGAAAAAGGCTTTTAATTTATAGTCTTTGTGTTTCTTCTGTGTATGTGCATTTAAAATTGATTTGATCTTAGGAGCTACATGACATCCTTTTAGGTAATTAGAGACCAAGGCCAAGCCCTGAATGAGCTATATGAAATTTGGCACTTATATGAAGAGAGGAAAAGTGAGTAGGCTCATTACAGGGTGTTATGTCATCTTCTACCTCAGTGTCTGGGTTGACTGGGGCTTTGTATCAGTAGTGATAGAAAGTAGCATTGATCACTTTTGACTCGGGCTTTGCATCAGTAATGACAGAAAGTAGCATCTTGTCACAAAACTGAAGGGACCACTAGTGGGAGATGAGGTCAGAGAGGTGATGGTGGTTGGGGAGATGGTAGGGCAGATTACGAAAAGGTTCGTAGATCACTGTAAGGACTTGACTTTGAGTGACAGGGAAGATGTATTAGCCTGCTTAAGCTGCCGTAATGAAATACCACAGACTGGCTGGCTCACACAGCAGAAATTTATTTTCTCACAGTTCTGGAGGCTGGAAGTCCCAGCTTAAGTTCTGGTAGGGTTGATTTCCTGTTGTCATCTTAGAAGGATGCATATTGATTTCAAAGATGCGTATTGGTTTCCTGTGAGAGCTCTCTTCCTGGCTTCCAGACGGCCACCTTCTCGCTGTGTTCTCCCATGGTGGAGGGAGTGAGTTCTTTGGTGTCTCTGCTTATTAAGGATCAGGACCCCACCATTGTGAGTTCCTTGAACCTTAATTGTCTCCTTAAAGGCTCTGTGTCCTAAAACAGTCACATGGTGGGATTTGGGTTTTCACATATGGGGCTTGAGGGGATACAAACAGTCCACAACAGAGGGTTTTGATCAGAGTAGTGATGTGGTCTAACTATTAACAGAATCACTCAATGTGGTGCTGTGCTGAGAACAGACTTGGGTGGGGTGGGAGCAAGGATGAAGCAGGGAGACTAGGTGGAGGGCGGTAGCGATAAAGTAGGAGAGCATGTGGCTTATACTAATGTAGCAGTGGAGGGGACAGTGAGTAGTGAGTAGATTCTAGATATATTTTGAAAGTAGAGCCATTTGAATTTCTCGTTGAATTGATATGGATATGAAAGAGAGGAGTCAGGTATGATAAGAGAGCCATTAAAGTTGGATTTTGGCCTGTGTAACTGGAGCCTGTCATCAGTCAGCTGGGATGGAGAAGGGTTCAGGTGGAGTACTTGTGGGGTGAGTGTAGGGTAGGAGTTGTAAAAAGTTGAAATTTGACTCTGTGAAGTTTGCTGAACAGGTAGTTGGATCTAGAAGTCTGGAATTCAGGAGCAAGTTTTAGGCTAAAGGTATATGTGAGTCATTACCATATGGATTATAATATTTAAAGCCAACAAATGGGTGAGTGCAGGTTAGAGTAGAGGACCCAAGGACTAAGTCTGGGGCATTCCACTGTGAGAAGAGGTCTGGGTTAAAAGGAGGGACTAGTGAAAAAGACTGAGAAAATGTACTCGGTGGGGCAAGGAAAAACCATAACGTGTAGTGAAAAGTGTAAGGGGAAGAGAGTGAGGAACTGGGACAATTGCTGCTGAGGGTCAAGTAAGAGAGGACTGAGAGTTAACTGTAGCCCTTTCCAACGTGGACGTACTTGGTGCCCACTTTCTGTGGAGTAGCCAATGGGAGTGGGTTTATAAGACTAGGAGAGAAATTGGAGACACAGAATATAGTAATTTGTTTTAAAGATTTTATTTATTTATTTTTAGAGAGAGGGGAAGGGAAGGAGAAAGAGAGGGAGAGAAACATCTGTGAGTGGTTGCCTCTTATGTGCCCCCTACTGGGGACCTGGCCTCCAACTCAGGCATGTGCCCTGACTGGGAATCGAGCTGGCGGACCCTTTGGTTCACAGGCCCGCGCTCAATCCACTGAGCTATGCCAGCCAGAGGGGAGTATAGTAATTATTTTGAGACATTTTCCTACAGAGGGGAGCAGGACAGTTGGAAGATAGCTGGAAGGGGAGGTGGGGTTAAGAGTAAGATGGGAGAAGTAACAATGTGATGGGATTGATTCAAGAAGGAGGGAAAACTAATGATGCCTCAGAAAGAGGGGACCATTGCTGAAATTAACTATCCTTGAGATGGAGAGAGGAGATGGACCTAGTTAGTGCACAGGTGTGGAGTTTGGTTTTTTAGTATTTTATAAAGAGTTTTGAAAAATAGAGTGAGGTATTACTAAAATAGTTTTCAAGTTATAAAAGACATGCATGCATATGATAAGTATTCAAACTGTCAAGAAGAATGCTTAAATTCTTACTCCCTTGAGGTAGATACTTTCAATATTGTTCGTGAAAGTCTTTCCAGAAGTTTTCTATACATGTACAAATGTGTGAATAATCCTCTTTTACCCAACTGAAAATTCTGTATCTTCCTCAACATTTACATTAAGAACCTTTTCTCATTAACACATATGGAATTTTAAAAATTACTGTATAATATTTTCCTTGTATGGTTGTCTGTACATTTATTTAGCTAGTTCCAGAAGCCACCGAGTTGTTTGCTTTTCTTGTGCTGTTACAAATAATGATGAATTGGATATTCTGGTGTACATACACCTCTGCACTCTTACATAAGTGTTTATCAGTAGCATAAATTTCTGGAAGTGAATTGCTGTGACAAAGAGATTGTGCATTTTACCAATTTAACATACTCACCAAAATTAGATAATCTTTTAGGTTATTTCAGTTTTAACATGCTGTGAAATGGGATAGGATGAATTCAATTTCATAGAAGTAATTATTTTTTGAATGCTTTTATCTTTTTTGTTTGTAGTCTCAAAAACATAAATATAAAGTCCTTTTCCTGGAACCAGACACATGGTGGAAGTTCAGACCAAAGGAACTTGCAAGGTAAAACGTGCAGACTATCTGACATATTTTTTAGTTCATGACAGTGATAGAAAATCTACCTAGATTTTTTCCACTTATGATTAATGAATGAAACAAAATAGATTAAATTGCAGCTTTGTTATTTAAAAATTGGTAACAAATTTTGTATTACATATAGGCTTTTCATGTAGTTTATGAAGAGTTTGTACCTTTTTGTTCCTTTAATTGAGTTAATAGAAAAATTCCAATTGTCTTGTATAGTTGACACTTTATTATTACCAATAATACGATGTCGATATCTGAAGCTAGACCATGCTTTGGGGTTTGACATACCTGAACTTTGTGCTACTGGGAGGAACAAGTTAGTATAGCTGCCTAGTGACTTAGAAAGCATTGAGGAGACATAGATGGAAAAGGTAGCAGATGTCCAGCTGTTTAGCTGTCCAGGTACTTTATGGCTTCCACCTTTTTGATTGTTTGACTTGAATAAACATTTTACTCAGAACATGGACTAAATAAAGGACAGCCTAATCTTAGTGTGTTCACAAAGTATGTAACCATTATTCAAAAAGAAACCTCCCACCTGCTATCTGTCTCCCTATTCCACCCTCCCCTAATCTGCTTTTCTTTCTCCATGGATTTGTGTGTTCTGGACTTTATAAATGGAATCATATAGTATGTGGTTTTTTGTATTTGGCATTTTTCACTTAGCATAATGTTTCAGGGTTCTTCCATGGAGCAGGTATCAGTACTTTATTCCCTTTTTTCTATTTTTAAGTATTTTTATTGATTATGCTATTACGGTTTTCCCAATTTTTCCCCTTATCCCCCCTCCGCCCTGCACCCCCCAACCCTCCAGCATTCCCTCCCATAGTTCATGTTCATGGGTTGCACATATAAGTTCTTGGACATCTCTGTTTTCTGTACCATTCTTAACCTCTTCTTGTGTATTTTATGCCTACCAATTATGCTTCTTATTCCCTGTACCTTTCCCCATCTGTTCTTCCTCTCTCTTTCCCCACTGAAAGCGCTCCGTGCGATGTCCATTTCTCTGATTCTGTTCCTATTCTAGTCGTTTGTTTAGTATTTGTTTTTATTTTTCCTTTTTTAGGTTCAGTTGTTGATAGTTGTGAGGTTGTTGTCATTTTACTGTTTATAGTTTTTGATCTTCTTCAATTTCTTAGGTAAGTCTTGGTGATGATGAGCTCCTTTAGTTTTATCTTGTCTGGGAAGCACTTTATCTGCCCTTCTATTATAAATGATAGCTTTGCTGGATAGAGTAATCTTGGATATAGATCCTTGGCTTTCATGACTTGGAATACTTCTTTCCAGCCCCTTCTTCCCTGTAAGGTCTCTTTTGAGAAATCAGCTGACAGTCTGATGGGAACTCCTTTGTAGGTGACTATCTCCTTATCTCTTGCTGCTTCTAGGATTCTCTCCTTAAGTTTCATCTTAGGTAATGTAATTATGTTGTACCTTGGTGTGTTCCTCCTTGGGTCCAAGTTCTTTGGGACTCTGTGTGCTTCCTGGATTTCTTAGAAGTCTGTTTCCTTTGCCAGATTGGGGAAGTTTTCCTTCATTATTTGTTCAAATAAGTTTTCCGTTTCTTGCTCTTTCTCTTCTCCTTCTGACACCCCTATAATTTGGATGTTAAAGTGTTTAAAGTTGTCCCAGAGATTCCTCAGCCTCTCTTCATTTCTTGTTTCTTCATTCTGTTCCAGTTGAATGTATATTTCTTCCTTTTCTTCCAAATCATTGATTTGAGTCCTGGTTTCCTTCCTGTCACTGTTGCTTCCGTGAATATTTTGCTTTATTTCACTTTGGGTGGTCTTCATTTGTTCCTTTATTTTGTGACCAAGCTCAAGCAGTTCTGTGAACATCTTGATTACCGGGGTTTTGAACTCTGCATCATATAGGTTGGCTGTTTCCTTATCTTTTGGAGTTTTATGGAGTCTTTCTGGAGTTTTACTCTGTTCTTTCGTTTGTGCCATATTTCTTTGTCTCCAGGTACCTGTTAAGTTGTAAGGGGGTGGGGCCGGGCAGCCCTCTTTGCTGCACTGGGTGCTGCCTGTGGGGGAGTAGTCCGAGAGGGAACAATGCAGCTTTTTTGCTGGGCTCTAGCCCCACTTTCCAACAAATTCTCATGGGAGACTGGGTTTTTTTCTTACCGTGGCAACCCCTCTCGTAGTCCACAGTCAGCTCTGAGTCTCAGTTTCCACTTTAGCCAGCCCCGCCCACTTGGTCCACTGGCTTGCCTGGGTTCTCTCTGACTGGTCTTCTGCCTGGTCTGACTCCTGCCAGCCTCGTTGGCCTGGTTGACTGTTTATTTCCTTTGTTGTTGGAGTTCCATGCAGTTTGATTTTCTGGCACTTCTGGTTGTTCATTATTTTTACATTGCTGTTATCCTCCTTTTGGTTGTGCAAGGAAGCAAAGGGTTTCTACTTAGTCCTTCATCTTGGCTGGAACCTCTTTTTTTCTTTTGCTACATTACCTGTATAAACCAGTGATGTTGGCCTACAGTTTTTCTTCCTTGTACCGCCTTGCCTGGCTTTGGTGTTATGGTTTTATGTCCATAAAAGTAACGGGAAGTATTTGTTCTTTTTCTCTTATACGAATTTATATAAATTTGAATGTTTGATAGAATTTAATTATAAAACTGTCTGGATCTGGTGTTTTCTTTCTGAGAAGGTTCAGTTGCATTTTTTTTGTTTATTCTATTATGTTCCAGTTTTTCTCCCTTTTGTATCCCACTCACCCAGCCTATCCTTCTTGCCCACAGTCACCACAGTTGGTCCCCTCTTTGTTGTCTATGTCTCTGAGTCATTCATACATGTTCTTTGATTAATCCTTTCCCCTTCCTTCCACCATTGCTCCCTGCCCTCTCTCCTCTTAGAGCTATCAGTCTGTTCCATGTTTCCATGTCTCTAGTTCTGTTTTTCTCATTATTTTCATTGGATTCCTGAAAAATTTTCATTACACCAAAGTTTTCAAACTTATTAACCCTTTATTAAAATGATTATAGTATTCTCTGACCATTTACATCTCTGCTGCATCTATACTCAAATTTTCCTTTTTATCCTGATATGTTTATATGTATCTCCATTCTTTTTTATTGATTATTCTCACCAGAGATGAGATTTTTTCATTAGCCTTTCAAATAAATAATTCTGCTTGTCTTTCTCTTGTAAGTTTGTTTTATATTTAATTCATTTCTGCTTTTTAAATTATACTTTCTTTGCTTTTCAAAAAATCTTATTTTGCTCTATACACACTGTCATTTTAAAAAATCTTTACCTGAATGTTTAGGTCATTTTCTAATATAATTTGATGCTCTAGATTTCCCTGGGTACTTTGTTAGCTATTCCCAGAATTTTTATATGTAATACTTTTTTCTTATCATTTATTTTTTAACTTATATTATGATTTTTTTTAACCTTTGGGTTATTTAGAACTATGCTTTTAGATTCATGAGCAGATGGTTTTTAAATTTATCTTTTTTAAAAAGTTGGTTTTTCAACTAACTTAACTGCAATAGGTAAGATTATGTAGTTTGGGTGATACTAATTACCTGATTTCTTAAAGATGTATGGTCTAGTCCATTGTCGGCTTTTTAATAAGTGTTTCATGTGTGCTTGGTAAGAATATATACTGGTTATAGTGTGTTAATATAATATTAAGTCATGCTTGTTCTGTTGATCACATCTCTTATAGCTTTATTTTCTTAAAAAATTTGTGTGGTGGATTAATGTTTAAGAGAGGGGTAAGGAAATTTGTAAGGGAGGCGTGTTGAAGTTTTCCTTTATTATGTTGAATATATCAGTTTCCCCTTATAAATCTGCCTGTTTTCATTTTATATATTCTAAGGGTGTATTTTGAAGTACATAGAAGCTTAAGATTTTTATATCACTCTAATTAATTGAATATTGTATCCTTGTCTATAGATTTTTTCTTATTCTTAATGTTGTTGTTACAAAGTTCAATTTGTCTAATACTAATAGAACTACTATGTTTTATTTTGGAATTTTTTATTGAATGCTGACTTATTTGCTTTTTTTTCCTGTCCTAATTTGGAAATTATGTATACTATTTTTATTTTTCAAATGGTTACATTAAAAAGGTATCTTGCCATCTTAAAGTTAAACCACTTTCATAGCCTTACTCCTCAATACAAAGGATTTAAACATTTTACTCTGATTCTTAACCTCCCTTTGATCTTACATGCTATGATTGTTCAGAATGGACAGATACTGTTTGTTTTCACTAATGTAATATTGCTTGTGTTTAATTTTTCTTTCATTATAGATTTTTCATCTGGAAATTTCCTTCTGTCTGACATTTATCTTTTGGGATTTTCTTTATGGTGTAGGCCTGCTGTATGAACACTTTTAGTTTTTCTTGTCTGGGAAGCTCTTTATCTGCTCTTTGATTCTAAATGGTAGCTTTGCTAGATCAATTTTGGCTGCAGGTCCCTGCTTTTCATGACTTTGAATATCTCTTGCCAATCCCCTTCAGCCTGCACAGTTTCTTTTGAGAAATCAGCTGACAGTTTTATGGAAACTCCCATATAGGTAACTAACTGCTTTCTCTTGCTGCTTTTAAGATTCTCTCTTTATTTTTAACCTTTGGCATGTTAATTATGATGTGTCTTGGAGTGGGCCTCTTTGCATCCATCTTGTTTGGGACTCTGTGCTTCCTAGACTTGCATGTCTATTTCCTTTACCAAATTAGGGAAGTGTTCTTTCATTATTTTTTCAGGTATACTTCTAATTTCTTGCTCTTTCTATTCGCCATCTGGCACCCCTGTCATGTGAGTGTTGGAGCTCTTGAAGTTGTCCCAAAGCTGCTTATACTGTCATTTTTGTCTGGGATTCTTTTTTCTTCTTGTTATTCTGATTAGTTCCTTATGTTTCAAGTCATTGATTTGATTCTCGGCTTCATCTACTCTACTGTTGTTTTCCCTATAAGTTGTTGTTCTTTATTTCAGTTGTATCCTTCATTTCTGACTGGATCTTTTTTATGTTGTTGAGATCCTCACTAAGTCCCTCGAGCCTGCTAATAACTAGTGTTTTCAACTCGTCATCTGATAGATTGCTTATCTGCATTTTGTTTAGTTCTTTTTCTGGAGTTTTGATCTGTTCTTTCATTTGGGCCGTGTTTTTTTGGCTCCTCATTTTGGCAGCCTCCCTGTGTTTGTTTTTATGTATTATGTAGAACTGCTATGACTGCCTGTCTTGGTAGTGTGGCCTAATGTAGTAGGTGTCCTGTAGGGTCCAGTGGCATTGCTGGACCCTGTGGGACACCTAACACTCAAGCTGGGGACTCTGGGTATGTCCTTCTTGTGGGCAGAGTGCACCCTCCTCTCGTAGTTGAGCCTTGGTTGCTGTGGCGGGTCGGTGGGATTTACCCAGTCCAGTCAGCTGCAAGGATTGGCTGTGACCACTGATCACCAATCTCAGCCCTCCATGAAGGATCAGCTGTCCAGGGGCTGGGTGATGGGCCTCTGTTGTGGTCTATAGCTGTCCACTGGGTACACTGTCCCTGGGGTATCCTGGGTGGTGCAGGCCAAGGTCAGCCTCCACCATTGTTTTTCTCTGGGCCACCCTGCCAAAGCTGTAAAGCAATCTGAGATGTCTGCTACTTGTAGTGGGCATGGAGATTCTGGTGAAGCAAAGCTGTGAATCTAGGCTGGCTCTTGCTAGTGCCATGTCTGGGGCCACTTAGCAGAAGGTACAGGAGCTGTGGGCTCACTGAGGCCAGCTGTTGCTTATTTGAAAGGATTTTAGGAAGTTGTGAAGCATGAGCCAAGACCAGCCATTCATATGGAAGAGCCACTGTTAACAGCTGTAAGTTGGGTGGGTTGGAGCCTTCAGATCTCAAGGGCAGGGCAAGCTGTGTTAGCCAGGTTGACAGATGTGGCACCCAGCTGCTGGGTCTGTGGCTCTGTGAGGGGGAAGGCTCAGAAAAGGGACAATGGCTTCTGCCTATGCATCTCTCTGGGACAAAGTTGTCCCCAGCTCTCACCTTGATGCCAAACACTTCATTTCCTCCCTGTATGCTCCTGGTACCTTTCCAGCTGCTACCCTGGTGCTGGAGCTCAGAGGAAGTGAGTCTGACTAAGTCCATGTATAGCCTCTTTAAAAGGAACTGCTTGAGACTCCAGCAGTTTCCTCAACTGACATAATCCCTGTTGGTTTTTGCAGCCAGAAGTTATGGGGACTTATCTTCCTGGTACTGGAACCCTGGGCTGGGGGGCATGGTATGGGTCTGGGACTCCTTGCTCCCAAGCTACCCCTCTTGAATCTTTATCCACCACATGTGGATGTGGGACCAGCCTGTTCTACTCTTGAATCTTTATCCACCACATGTGGATGTGGGACCAGCCTGTTCTGCTCTTGAATCTTTATCTACCACATGTGGATGTGGACCAGCCTGTTCTACTCTTGAATCTTTATCCACCACATGTGGATGTGGACCAGCCTGTTCTGTGTCTCTGCCTCTCCTACCAGTCTGGATGGGTGTGATTTCTTTAATTCCACAGTTGTCATACTTCAAGTTGATTTCTGGTGGTTCTGAGTGATGGTTGTTCTATAATTTAGTTGTAATTTTGATGTGGTTGTGCGAGGAGGTGAGACGTGTTTACCAGTGCCACCATCTAGACTAGAAGTCTATCAGTCCGTGGTCGTATTCTTATGAGCTTTTTTTGTTTTGCTTTAGTTTTTGCAGAGCTTAGGGATAAATTTTTTTTAAGTTATTAAGAGCTGCTCATTTTTTCAAGTTGGTAAAGAATGTTTGGGAAAGAATATATGGAATGCTTAAAAAATGATAATTTAAGACATCCTGAGTAAAATGAAAGTTAAATTAAAATAGTATATATTATTCTAATAAATCAGCTTTTAATTTTTACCTATTATACATATATTGTTTTTCATGACAGTATATGTCCTGATATGTTTAAAAGCTTAACTACTAATATCTCTTTTGCCCTTTTCTCCCCTGGAATTTTTAGGCGTAATATTCATGGGATAAGCAAAGAAAAAATAAAAAGAATGTTGGAACGTTATCAACATTTTGTTTCAGTGCCAATAATTATGAGTTCTTCAGTGCCAGAAAACATTGAACGTGTTGGGTTATGTGCAGTATCTTTTGAAGACCGAAGTTTTAGGTAGGTTAAAGTCCCTGTCTGTGTACAGATTCTCAGTTTAAAACACAATTTTTAAAAAATAAAGTTTTGAAGCTTGTGAAATCACTGCCAGATAACTTGTAGGACTTACATATGGTCTTACCTGAAGCAGGATGTGAGTATGTGGTGAGCAGGAAAAGAAAAGTTTGTTTATTTAAGTGACGACATTAGAGTTGTTTAATTGTCCTCTGGGTTTTGTGGGCCCATGTTTGTACTGTCTTCATTATGTAGCTTCCTGCAATTTTAGTCTTTATCTGTTAGTTACCTTATGTCCTCATTGTTATTTGTCTATAATCATATCACTTAATTTCCTTAGGTAATGGTAAAAATATTCTTTTTTGGTAAAAATAACCATCTTGTAAGAATAATCATAAATGAGTAAAGAAGAACCTTGAATATATAGAAAGGTCTGAGTTTCCTGTATTTTGTGATGGTAAGGGATGGAGAGGTTCTACTGAAAAGGACTAAGGAGTTAGGAAGAGAAAATTCATAAATGCCCTTTCAGTGAGGAGCATTGGCGCAAAGTGGTGAAGAACGTGGGTTCTTAATCCTTGTTTCCTGGCTTCATATCCCACAGTTTTATAATATGTAACTGTAAAATCTCTCTATACTTTAGCTCTTTATTTCTAAAATGGCAGTAACAACACTTTGCTCCTAGGATCTCTTAAGGATTATGAATTAACACTTGTAAAAGACTTAGAATAGCATCTGGCATATGGAAAACTCAGTGCTAGGTGTGATTTTAGTAGGAAGGCTTCATGGAAGAGGTGGGACTTTGAGAGCTCCTAGAATAAAGAAGGAGAAGAAGGAAGACTAGTTGACAAATTGGAAAAGGAAAAAGCACTACACTTGAAAGTAATGATTAGGCAAAAGTGCCCTGAGTCTGATGTTAACATTAAGGATGGTTTTTAAAAATTTAACAAGTGACATCTCAGATGAGATCTTTCTTCCCTATCTCTCATTTTTCTTAACTGTGCAAATCATGTTGGTTAACTCTTTTTGACTTTGTAAATGAAGCTTAAGCATTTTCCTTTGTAGCAAATGACAGGTAGTATAGAGGCAGTCCTAGTTTGACATTATGTTAAGCTTATTAAATAGGTTAAAGAAGCCATGGAGGTGGTGTCCTCTTCTGGGAATAAATTTAGAAACTTAATTTTAATATTTATGTATAATAAACATCTTAACTGAAAATCTTATATTTATTATACAATTCAAAAAAGTTTTAGTGCTTTCTCTATGCCAGGCATTTTGCTAGTCATTATGGTGACAACAAAGGGATGTGTTCATAGTGTTTTGCTCAAAGACCAAGGTTAGCTTTTATCATTTTAATGTAGTGTATTTCTAGAGTTTTTAGAGTAAGTGTTAAGTGTTCTTTCCATTGAGTGTTTCTTTAATTTAAATCGTAAGATTATGGTAACATTAAGATACTGCCTCATAATACTTAAAAAATTTTACAGCCCGAGAAACAATGAAGACATTACCTCTGAAAAAGAAGAAAATATTTTATCCTCATCTTTGAAGCACATAGAGTTAATTGAAGAGAAGAAACCTGACCTGACCAAAGAAACTGTGTTACCCGCGAATGTTGCATATCTCCCTAATACAGATTTAAACCAAGGAAGAAAAGAAATAAGTGGTATGAATCCTGGCAGTGAGAGTGCTTTCATTCAGGAAGGTGCAGACATGTGTTTTTCTGATTCTGAAAGCAAAGTACGAGTAACAGACAAAAGTGGAAAAGACCGAGTAGAAATGGCTCCTGAAAAAGAGCATAGCAAAACTGATGCAGATAGTTTTGTAGAGAGCGTGCCACCGAGTATTAGCTGTGGTGAAAATAATAATGGAGACTGTGATCTTTCAAATGCTATATCATTTCAGAATGAAAACTCCTCATCTGGTGAAATATCAGAAGAAAGAGCAATGGTAAAGAAAAAAGCCTTTGGAAAACAAAAAAGCAAGTCATCTGTGGAAAAGTTATCAAGATATGAACTATCAAATTTTGTTGGTGATTGGCCAGTTGATAAAACTATTGGTCAGAGGACAAAAAGGAACCGAAAAACTGCAAAAGCTTCATCTGTACAAAGTGACAAAAAGTATAATCGCCCTCCATCATGCAAAGTATCAGATAATAGTCTATCTGTGGATATAGATCATATCCAGCAACTAGGATCTCTACATGAAAATGTAGAGGATGACAAGAAGTCACAGTGTGATGATGCTTCAGAAGCTTTCAGTAGCTATAATTATGACGCTTACAGAAATACTGAAAAATACTCATTCAACATTCTGGGCGACTGGCCTTCACCTGATTCTTTAGCTCAGAGACAGCACAAATCAAGAATGCGAAAGTCTGGTATAAATGAACCCAACCTTGAATTTGGAACAAATGACACTCTGAGTGAAATACCCTTATACACAGCACATGAGGCCTGTTGGGGCACAAGCCCTGAAGAACTGAAAGCATTGGGTAGCTCTATTCTAGGCAATTCTAATATGCTATTCAGTGAAATGACCTGTGAGAATGAGACTTGTCTAAGTAAAGAGATTCACGATCAACACACATTGTCTCTTTCTTTTACCAATAGTGCTCCAGCTATTCCTGGAGTAGTAGGACCACAAACTTTAGCTGAATTTCCAGAAGGAAAGCCTAAAGAAGTCCCTGGAATAGAAGTAGGCACGTGTACCCAGACTGAACCACAGGATTTTGCTCTCTTATGGAAAATAGAAAAGAATAAAATTAGTGTTTCAGATTCTGTGAGAGTATTAATAGGGAGACTAGATGGATTTGAACCAAAAGCTTTCAATATTAACATGAACTTAGATATTCAAGAAACAATTCCATATAGGGTAATGTATGATAAAAGCACATTTGTTGAAGAAAGTGAACTTACCAGTGCTGATGAATCTGAAAATCTTAATATTCTTTGTAAATTATTTGGATCCGTTTCACTAGAAGCTCTAAAAGACTTATATGAGAGGTGCGACAAAGATATTATTTGGGCCACGAGCCTCTTGTTGGATTCTGAAACTAAATTATGTGAGGGTACTGAATATGAGAATAACCAAAAGTCACATGAGGAAGCACAAGTTGAGCCACTTTCTCCAGGAGTTAATTTGAAGGAAGTTATTAGCCAAAGAGGAACCGTAGAGAGTTCTACTCCTTCTGAGCCAGAATTTGGTCATGGGATTGATATCACTAACACTAATGTACAGTCTACCTGTGATTCAGAAAAGGGAAACCCAGGACAGGCAGAAATAAGAACTGTAACTACTGAAAAACCTGGATTAATAAGTGTATTCCCTAATTCCACTACAGCGCTAAAGAGTACTAATGAAGTACTTCCTGATAGTCAGGCAGAACTCTCAGGTTTATATAACGTTAACCAGTCTTTTTCAGGTACTATAAATGCTATCCCTGCTCAAGATGTGAGTGAAATGGAGAAGAATCTAGAAGTCACAGAAATTGGAGACAGTATGCATTCTTCTTTGAGTTTGTCTGATATTTTAAACTCTGTATCAGGCACTTCAAATCTTGAATTAAATGAAGAAATTTATTTTACTGACTCCTGTGAAATAAAGAAAAATGAAAATCTTCCAAAGGATTATGTGAAATTTCCAAACACAGAAGAGTTTGTGAATGAAGATGAACAGGAAATGGAAAAATTTCTAATGGCAGGGAGTACTTTGCTAGCTGGAGTTAGTGAAGAAGATAAAACTGAGATGTTGAATCCCACACCAGTGATGACCAAATCTCTTACCATAGACTGTCTGGAATTGGCATTACCTCCTGAACTGGCCTTTCAGCTCAGTGAATTGTTTGGCCCTGTTGGTATTGATTCAGGTAAGGAAAAAGTAAATTACCCATATGTGTGTCTTTATGTGAATAAAATGTAGATAGATAGTAATATTTCAGTGTGAAAATTATTTTATATGTTAACTGAAATGTAAAAGTAAATTTGTGTTGTTTACCTTATTTTTTCACAGCGTGTTTGTAGAGGATTTAAGAAAATGTAATTTGAAGAAATAGCATTTATATAGGGAGTTTGTGTTCATCCTGTGCCTATATTGAAAGTTTTTTCTGGTATTTACTGCATACTTATTTACAAAGATGAACCTTTTTGAACCCTTTGGTGCTACTCCAGATCCATAAGTCAAGATTAATTTCTGAGAACACATTTATTAAAAAGTCATGACTCATGGAAATGAATAAATTAAATTTATTTAGAATAATGGCCACAGATAACTTAATATATGAAGCATTATTTAATTGCAGCAGCCAAGAAGTGTGAAAACAACATGTTATATATACAGAAATATTCCAAGAGAACTAAAGTCATAGGTTAGAAATTAATAATACAGACTAGTTTTATGATACGTAAAGTGGTTTAGTATGTTTCCTGCAATGTATGGGTAATGATTATATTTTCTTTTCCCCCCTTATAAGGGTCTCTAACAGTTGAGGATTGTGTGGTTCATATAGATCTGAATCTGGCTAAAGTGATTCATGAGAAGTGGAAAGAATCTGTAATGGTTGGTAGGCTCCTCTTCATAAAGAGCTTTTGTATCCATTCTGTCACCTTTGCTCTTCAGTAAAATCTGTTGTATGAAAGAGTTCTGTTGAATTTTGACTTTGAGAGAGAATGAACTTTTATGACTTAACAGATTATTGATTTTTACCTCTTTTCAGTATTTTAGGTTATTTCTAGACTGGTTAAATTATGTAATTAATGATGAAGTTCAGTATGTTGAATTTTTTTAAGGGAGACATAAATAGTTTTTGCTCCCTAAATGAAAGACTTGCTGTACTGTTTGATTAAATTTCAAAAACAAACAAGTACAGTGTAACAGCTCTGTAATGATTAATTAAATTTCAAAAACTTTGAAAAATATAGCATAACAACTCCTTAAGTGGAAGAAAATATAGATGTAGTCATACTTTATAATTTTATTTATCTAATTTGTTGTTTTACTTAGATTTTAGCAAGGACGATTGATAATTTTATGAGAGATGATTTCTTGAGAAAAATAATATAATCTTGTTTTCTAATGCACCCTCCTTTGCCAATCCCCTGTTCTGTACTTGTGTTTAGGAGCGACAAAGACAGGAAGAGGTATCCTGTGGCAAGTTTATGCGAGGTAAATCACTTATTTTTTTTTAATATTTATTTATTTTTAGAGAGAGAGGAAAGGAAGGAGAAAGAGAAGGAGAGAAACATCAATGTGTGGTTGCTTCTTTTGTGTCCCCTACTGGGGACCCACCCCACCTGCAACCCAGGCATGTGCCCTGACTGGGAATCGAACCAGCGACTCTTTGCTTCACAGGCCTGTGCTCAATCCACTGAGCTACACCAGCCTGGGCTTCTTTTCTAATCTAATGATCTTGTCTTGATATTGTAACTTGGTGTGTGTATGTATGAATTTTAACTCATTTTAAGCACTTCCACAAAATGTTAACCTAAGAATTTTTATATGCAAATGAAAGTTCTTTAAAAATTATTTTATTTTTATATGAAGATAAAAGACCCTATAATACTGTTCAGCTTTCATAAGTGCTGTGGAACACGTAATATGTGCTCTAATAGATCTAGTCAAGGTTTTTCCTATTAAGATTTCGCTCTGAATGAAAGAAAACTGTTCTGGTTTGAGAGCAATAAAAGTATTCATGTGTTTGAGAGGATCGTGGACATATTACTTGGTTATTCAAAGTTTTTCTTGATGTTACTATTATTAGAGCTCAAAAGTCAGCCTGCTTTTTTGGTACATCTGCCAAATTGAAAATACTTGATTCCAGAAGACTTCTCTTATAGCATTGTCCTCAGTGATTAGTGCATAGTGGCAGACCTGTTAATAAGGGTCTCCCTTGTGTGTATGAATCCTCCATATACTTTTGTCCACTCCACACTGGGACTGCAGATTGAAGAATCTCAGTATGTGCTTTAGTTCAGACCTGTGTTTGCGTTGTAGCTTTAAGAGCTGAAACTGTTTGAGAGCTGGAGGTGCCCAAAGGGTATCAAGAGTTGTGTGAATGACACTACTACCCACTGTTTTTTCTCCTTCTAGGAAAGCCAAGGAATGTATCAGAATGTGTTGATATCCCTTAGAAATGATGACATGTTGCACATTTGTTCAGCCCTTTCCTTACTTGCCTATCAGTTGCTAAATTTTCATTGGGTGCCACCAGTGGGTTGGTTACAGATTTGCCAAAATACTAATCTTTTCAGTCCTTGGAATGGCTGAACAGAGCTCACCAGAGCTGCTCCAGGTGGTAACTTTGAGCTGGCTGCAACTTCCTGTGTTTAGCATTGTATGTGTCACTATTTTCTGTGGGCCGATGTGGTATGGAAAAGAGTGAGAAGCATTGAGTTGCTTTAGTGATACCCAGATCATGACTCATTTGAAATATTCCTACATTTACACATCATTTCTTGCTTGTAGTTACATGCAGATGAATTTGAAACTTCAGAGTTGCATTATGTGTACAAGCTAAAAGTAAAAAACCCATGTTTTCTTCATCTCTCTGAGGTGGATGTAACAGTGCATAATGCTTAATTTGTATGTTTTTTGTTATTGTTGAGGGTCTGACACTATTTGTGCTGCTTTTATAGATCCTTCCATGGTTGGGCATGTTGGTCTTGATAATACTGAACAAAAATCATCTCAGAGAACAGGCAAAAAGTTACTGAAGACTTTAGCAGCATCTCAAATGCTACCCTTATTGGATCATTGGAATACTCAAACTAAAAAAGTATCACTCAGAGAAATAATGTCAGAAGAAATTGCCTTACAGGAAAAACACAATTTGGTATGAGTTAGTATAAATATTAAGTCTTTGTCTCTGACTCTAGATTGATTATGTATGTTTGTTTACTTTGTGATTTTCATTTGATTTTATATTTCCTAGTCTGGAATCTGTTTTTAACTTGATTGAAGTTAATGTTAAAATTGGAAAATGTTTTAAACATAGTTTAAAGCTGGAGGTTTTTGCTTTGGGGAAGTTAGTTGATATTCTGTAACAGTAGACCAATCTATGTTAAATGTGTTGTTTTAGATTTAATTTTTTAGGTGATTGAGCTGCACAGTTTTTAGCATTTTAACATTCATGTAATTTTTTAAATTCTGGAAACATGGAAGAAATCTTTCATTTAAAGATACTTTCAGACAAAAGAAAACTGTACTTGAAAAATAACTAAATAAATTTTTTAAAAAATTAAAAGATAAATAAATAAAGTTTCAAAAAAAAGGTACTTTCATTCATAAATTAGTAATAAGAAATGTTTCTCTTGCTATTAAAGAAGTGTCCATCTTTGAAACAAAATTTTTTAGAGAAAGTTTTAGAAACTTAACCATTTGAATTAAAAATATATACCCTTATCTGACTTTTCAGTTAAACAAGTTCAAACAGAAACTTCATTTCACTTTGAACTTTATATACATATTTTTGTTTCGTATTTAGTGTGTCTAGTTATGTAAAGCTACAAGTGAATTTGGTTTTCTTTGCCTTTGTTTTTAGCCTTTTTTCTTGAATTCTGCAAATTAGTATCAGAGGATTTAAAAATCAGAAGAGGAAAGACCATAAACATTATTTAGTCCAATTCTCAAAGGAAAAAAGAAAACTCTTAGATGGTGATCTTAAAAACACTTTTATTTACTTTCTTACTCATTTGACATCTTAAAGGATCACCTTCATATTTGAAATACTTAGAATTGGTATGAAAGAAGAATGGTGGGATTACTCTACATTTGTATTTATTTTCTCCAGTTAACCTATTAATTAAATTGGAAATATGTATTCTCATCTTTGCACATTTAAATGATCCAAGGAACAATCTTTTCAATAGGATTTTATAATTTAGTATTGTTCAAATATCCTTTTCAATTTATATATGTAATAAGTTGGATAAACGGATTTTCTTAAAAACATAGGAAAGCCTAGAACTTCTGCCCAAATGGTGTGATACTTTTTGTTGAAACACCATTTTCCACTACAGAAACTTATATTTACAGTTCTAACCTGCCTTTTAATCTCTCAGTGTAATAGTGAACAAATGAACATTTTTGACTTCCCAATTTAATGCACTTTTTCCCCCTTACCAGTGATTTTTGTTTGCCTTTGTATGGCTAATAGAAATGGTATTATTTTGCTCCCAAGGACTCTCCCTGAGGTATTACTCCAGAAAGGGAATTTTGTGTGATGCCTTCTCCTCACTTTTTGTCCCCAAAGGAGAAATACACTTTGTATTTTTTTTTAAATAAAGGATATAAAAAACTTTAGGCATAGTGTGTGAATAGAGTAATTAATTGTGTCATAAATTTTCAGTTTTTTTGAATTTGAAGTTTTGAAACTCTGTGACCTGGTAGATTGCTAATAAATCTGATCACTGAATATTTTAGTAAGTTCAGATATAATGCATAATTTTTAAAAACGTGAAATGTTTTTAATCCTTGAGGTAGCTTTTCTGTCACTCTGCTGACCTAGGCTGCGATCAGCTTTACCCATCATCCTCTCACTGGTCAGATGGTCACATGCCATGGTTCCTCTTTCATTGTTGTTTGGTGTTACGTAAATGGCCTAAGTATGGTTAGGCTTCAAAACCAGGACCTAGTCTAGGATCATCCTATACTTACGTAATTTTTATATTTAGGAATTTTCAGAGTCACCTTTGAAATTTTATAGGAAGTAATTTTTCAGACATTAGGAACTTTGTAGCAAACCAATATTTAGTTACATTACAGTGTCAACAAATTATCTTAGAAATCACTTTAAGAATGGTAATTGTAGTCCTGGCTAGGATTACAATAGCACATTTTATGAAAGTTCTTTTGGCTTGGCAATTTGAACAGGTCCAAATAGGACTTGTGAGAAAACTAACAGTTAATAATAGTTCTCATACAGTTATTTTGAAGTAAATGTGCTTGTGAAACTTAAAAATTGTGAATTTTAAGATTTTCTGTTAACCTGAATTTGCAACTTATTTGTACACTGTAGTTTCTGCCCATTGAGGAGAGTATATTTTTGAGGTTGTTGTTCACAGCATCATACAGGGTCCCTTTTATGAGGATCCGTGGGAGACATTTCTTTCAGTCTCAGTAGCAGAAAAAGCTGTACTTCTCCTGAGCAACTGGTTTGTTTTCATTTTATGGACACTGAGAATCTTTGTTTCCCCCTTTGCTTTGGCTGCTAAGAGTCTCAGAACTGAATTTGTGGCCCACCGTTAACAGTTGTACAGGATTTTGTGGCGTGTGTTTATATACTAATTTTACTTGCTAGCTATTCTGTATTCTTACCTTTATTTTCTGTATCTCTGACTTCTTCATTTATTTAGATCCTGTCTTATGTAATATGATTGAATGTGTTGGGTGTGTATATGTGACCATATGTATATGTGTGTGTACATATACACACACACATGCTCACATGTGTATGCATGATTGTATGTATATATATTTATGAGCAGCTTCAAATACTTTGTAAAAATAGGATATAAATAAATAGTGCAAGAATACTTATATTACTAATTTCAGCCTTGATTAATCAGTAAAGAAAGTCTGTGATTGCTTTTAAATTATTAGTCCTTTTGCAACAAAATAACCATGCTTTTGGATCATCATACTTAGTATTATAAATCCCATTTTAAAGATGATTTTTTTGTCTTTTTTTGGTTTTGTTTTAGAAGAGGGAGTCTTTTATGTTTGAAAAAGATTGTGCCACTAAACTAAAGGAGAAGCAACTCTTTAAGATGTTTCCAGCCATTAACCAAAACTTTCTAGTGGACATTTTCAAGGACCACAAGTGAGTACTAGATTGTCCATAGTTTGTACTGTGGTGTCATTGAAAGCATGTGTTATACACTCTAATCTGGTATTTTTCTGATAACAGAAATAATATTGGTGTATTATAAATCATTTAATGCAACCTACTCATATATAATGTAGAAAATGAGCAATTTCTGGCTATTGGTTTCTATGTCTCCTCAATTTTTTCTCATATAGTAATTGTACATACAAATGTGTATACATACATGTATATATACACGTCTGCTTTTGTGTCTACATGCAAGTACATATTTTACCAAAAAAGAGCTTATGTTTTATGTACTCTTGTAGTAGTTTTGCTGGTATTTATTTTTCCTGTTTATCCTTAGTGATCTACTTTTTTCTTTTTAAAGTCTATGGTATTCTTCAAGTATTCCATGTTATTTTTCTTTTTTTTTTTTTTATTTATTTTTTTTTTTTTTTTTTTTTTAAAAAAAATTTATTTTTTTTTTTTATTTTAATTTTGTGTTGGTTGTTCTCCCCCCTCTCTCCCCTCTCCCCCCCCCCCCACCCCCACCATTACCCCCTTTAGTTTATGTCCATGTGTCTCAAGTCCTTTAGGTTCTATATTTCCCATACTATTCTTGCCCCCCCATCTATTTTCTATCTACTGTCTATGCTACTTGTTTTCTGTACCTTCTCCCCCCGTCTCCTCCTCCCACTCCCCTGTTGCTAACTCTCCTTGAGATCTTCATTTCTATGTTTCCACTCCTGATCTAGCTGTCCTTTTAGTTTGCTTTTGTTTTAGGTGTGGTTGTTAATAACTGTGAGTTTGTTGTCCTTTCACTGTTCATGTTTCTTTAACTTCTTTTTCTTAGATAAGTCCCTTTAACATTTCATTATAATAAGGGCTTGGTGATGATGAACTCCTTGAATTTGATCTTATCTGAGAAGCACCTTATCTGTCCTTCCGTTCTAAATGAAAGTTTTGCTGGGTAGAGCAATCTTGGTTGTAGGTCTTTAGATTTCATGACTTGGAATATTTCTTTCCAGCCCCTTCTTGCCTGTAAGGTCTCTTTTGAGAAATCTGCTGACAGCCTGATGGGGACTCCTTTGTAGGTGATTGTCCCCTTACCTCTTGCTGCTTCCAGGATTCTTTCCTTCATTTTAATTTTGGCTAATGTAATTATGATATGCCTTGGTGTGTTTCTTCTTGAGTCCAACTTTTTTGGTACTCTCTGAGCTTCTTGGATTTCTTGGAAGTCTATTTCCTTTGCCAGATTGGGGAAATTTTCTTTTATTATTTGTTCGAATAGTTTTTCCACTGGTGGTTGTGTCTTTCCCCCTTCTGGTACCCCTATAATTCGGATATTGGAGCGTTTATAGATGTCCTGGAGGTTCCTAAGCTTCTCCTCATTTTTCTGAATTCTTATTTCTTCATTCCTTTTTGTTTGATGATTTTTTTCTTCTTCCTTCTGGTCTACTCCATTGATTTGAGTCCCAGTTTTTTTTTCATCTCTATGGTTTTCCTGTGGAATTCCATTCATTTCCCTTAATTTAGCCTTCATATGTTTCTCTAATTTGTGGCTATAGTCCACCAGATCTGTGAGGAAGCTGATGACCAGTGTTTTAAACTGTGCGTCTGAGATTGGTTGTTTTTGGCTTTGGGCGGTTGTGGGTGCGTGGCGCGGGCGCGGTTGGTCTGGTTGTGTCGTTTTTTCGGTTTTGTTTTTGTCTTTTGGGGCCCCACTACCCTTGACCTTTCAGTGATTTCTTAAATCACTCTATTTATTTATAAAGCTTTTATTTATTTATTTTTAGAGAGAGAGGAAGGGAGGAGGAGAAACATAACTGTGTGGTTGTCTCTTGTGTGCCCCCTACTGGAGGGACTTGACTCACAATCCAGGCATGTGCTGGTGACCTTTTGGTTTGCAGGCTGGCACATGACCCGCTGAGCCACACCAGGCAGGACCACTCTTAATTTATTTAAACAGGTTCCTATTTATGGACTTTTTGACTGTAAGAAAAATTGGAAACTGTGTGCACTGAACATCCTTGAGCAATATACATTTTTTGCTTTTCATGGGTGAATACTATTGTAGGCTAGTTCCTGAAAGTAAAATTGTTGGTTTGGTGTATTTTCAGTTTAAAATTTTTGTAGTTAATGTGAAGTTTCCTGATAAAAGTTTCTTGTGTTAGTGATTTGTACTAATTGTGTAGCCTGCTCTCTGGACAATGAGAATTTTTTAAAAATTTGCCAGTCTGTTGGGAAAAATATTTTATTGTTGAAATTTTTGTTTTACTAATTATTAGTAAGGTTGAATAATTTAATTCATTTCTTTTTATATTGCTTGCTTGTTTTTTGTCTTTTTCTTTTCGTTATTTGTATTTCTAGATTTGTGAAAACTCTTTATTGTATACTAATCTTTGTCTATTAATGCAGATTATAATTATTTTTCCTGATGTGATACTTACCTATTAACCTAGTATAGTCACTTTGGTCATACACATGTTTTCACTGTAATGTTTTTTTCAGAAAGTGTTTTTCTTTATTGTTTTGAGTTTTATGTCTTTTGGAAGTTTGTTCTACATCAATATTATATAAATATTTTCTTCAGAATTTTTAATTGTTAAATATTCTTAAGTTTTTAGCATTTTAATGTGTATGGTATAAGGTAGAGATTTAATTGTTCTTCCAAATGATTAACTGGGTAAACAGATCATCTTTACCCCACTGATACTAGGTATATCACTAATATTTACCACATTCCTAAATGCACATTTTTTGCCAATATTTGATCTTTACTTTAAAATATTTATTTATTCATTAATATATTTTATTGATTATCATTGTCTCAATTTTCCTCCCTTTGCCTACCACCCCCCTTCCCTCCAGCAATCGCTCCCCTTAGTTCACATCCATGGATTATGCATATAAACGCTTTGGCTTCTCCATTTCCTTCTACATTCCTTCTACAATAGGCTACACGACTAAGACAAGGAGTCAAAGCAGCTCTATCTAATAATTCATTCCCCGTCTGTTTTGTACCTACCAATCTGTGCTTCTTACTCCCTGCACCTTTTCTCCCATTTTCCTCTTTCCCCCTCCCAGCTGATAACCCTCCAAAGGATCTCCATTTCTGTAATTCTGTTCCTGATCTGCTTGTTTGCTTAGTTTGGCTTTTAGTTTCAGTTGTTGATAGTTGTGCATTTGTTTCCATGTTAATGTTACTAGTTTTGGTTTTCTTTTTCTTATATAGTTCCCTTTAACATTTTATATAATAAGGGCTTGGTGATTATGAACTCCTTGGATTTGATCTTATCTGAGAAGCACTTTATCTGCCCTTCCATTCTAAATGATAGCTTTGTTGGATACAGTAATCTTGGATGTAAGTCCTTACCTTTCATGACTTGGATACTTCTTTCCAGCCCCTTCTTGCCTGTAAGGTTTCTTTTGAGAAATCAGCTGACAGTCTTATGGGAACTCCTTTGTAGATAACTGTCTCCTTTTCTCTTGCTGCTTTTAAGGTTCCTTGTCTCTCATCTTGAGTAATGTAATTATGATGTCCCTTTGTGTGTATTTCCTTGGGTCCAACTTTTTTGGGACTCTGAGCTTGCTGGACTTCCTGGAAGTCTATTTTCTTTGTCAGACTGGGGAAGTTCTCTTTCATTATATGTTCAAATAAGTTTTCCATTTCTTGCTCTTCCTCTTCTCCTTCTGGCACTCCTATATGATTTGGATGTTGTTACATTGGGAATGTCCCAGGGCTCCTAATTTTTATCTTTTTTTAAAATTCTTTTTGCCTTTCTGATTGCTTTCTTCTTCCTTATGTTACAACTTGTTGATTTGATACCCAGCTTCATCCCCTCTACTGCTGGTTCTCTATAAAATTGTCCTTTATTTCTCTTGTGTCTTCTTTTTTTAAAAAAAATATTTTATTGATTATGCCATTACAATTGCCCTATTTCCCCTTCTTCATTCCCCTCCACCCTGCACACCCCCTCCTCCACCATCCCCCCCTTTAGTTTATGACCACGTGCCTCAATTTCTTTAGATTCTATATCTCCCATACTATTCTTGCCCTCTCCCCATCTATTTTCTGCCTACCGTCTATGCTACTTATTCTCTATACCTTCTCCTCCCTTCTCCTCCCACTCCCCTGTTGCTAACCCTCCATGTGATCTTCATTTCTATGATTCTACTCTTGATCTAGCTGTCCTCTTAGTTTGCCTTTGTTTTAGGTGTGGTTGTTAATAACTGTATGTTTGCTGTACTTTTACTGTTCAACTTTTTTATCTTTTTCTTAGGTAAGTCCCTTTAACATTTCATATAATAAGGGCTTGGTAATGATGAACTCCTTGGATTTGGTCTTATCTGAGAAGCACTTTATCTGTCCTTCCATTCTAAATGAAAACTTTGCTGAATAGAGCAATCTTGGATGTAGGTTTTTGCCTTTTATGACTTGAAATACTTCTTTCCAGCCCTTTCTTGCCTGGAAGGTCTCTTGAGAAATCAGCTGACAGTCTGATGGGAACTCCTTTGTAGATGACTGTCCCCTTATCTCTTGCTGCTTCTAGAATTCTCTCCTTCATTTTAATCTTGGCTAATGTAATGATGATGTGCCTTGGTGTGTTTCTTCTTGGGTCTAACTTCTTTGGGACTCTCTGAGCTTCCTGGATTTCCTGGAAGTCTATTTCCTTTGCCAGATTGGGGAAGTTCTCTTATTATTTGTTCAAATAAGGTTTTCACTTGTGACTGTTCCTCTTCCCCTTCTGGTACTCCTATAATTCGGATGTTGGAGCGTTTAAAGATGTCCTGAAAGTTCCTAAGCCTCTCCTCATTTTTTTGAATTCTTGTTTCTTCATCCTTTTCTGTTTGGTCATTTTTTTTTTTCCTTCTGGTCCACTCCCTTGATTTGAGACCCAGTTTCCTTTCCATTACTATTGATTTCCTGTGCATTTCCCTTCATTTCAGTTAGTTTAGCTTTCATTTGTTCCTCTAATTTGTGACTAAAATCAACCAGTTCTGTGAGCATCCTGATCACCAGTGTTTTGAACTGTGCATCTGATAGGTTGGCTATTTCTTGGTCACTTAGAGTTATTGGCTCTGGGGCTTTGAGTTCTTCTTGAGCCATGTTTTGGTCTTTTCGCACCCATTAATTATGAAGAGCAGAGCCCTAGGTGTTCACAGGGCGGGGCAACTCAGTCGCTGGTTTGTGACGCTGTATGTGGGGACGGGGTCAAAGAGGGGCAATGGTGGTCTCCTTTGCTGCTTCCTGCCGCTGGGGCCTGCGCGTTCCACCTCACTGCTTGCTCCTTCGCCTGGTTTACCGGTCTGGATGAACGGTTCGTTGTTGTCATACTTCCATGTAGTTCAATTTTCTGTTTTGGTTGCGTTTTTGTTACTAAAACTTTGTTGTCTTTAAACTTGGTTGTGCGAGGAGGCACAGTGTTTCCACCTACACCTCCATCTTGGCTGGAAGTTCTCCATCTTCTTCATTTTTGATTGGATCATTTGCTGTTCATGCACCCACTGAGTTCCTTGAGCGTCCACATAGCCAGTGTTGTGAACTCTGTATCTGGTAGGTTGCTCATCTGCATTTCATTTAGTTCTTTTCCTAGAGTTTTGTTCTGTTCTTTCATTAGGGTCATATTTCTTTCTCCTGAGTTTGTCAGCCTTCCTGTGTTTGTGAATTATTAGATAGAGCTGCTTTGACTCCTTGTCTTAGTCATGTAGCCTATTGTAGAAAAGGCACCTGTAAATTTTGTTGGGTGGAGCCTTAGGTAATTGCCAGATGGGACAACCAGTTTCACTGCTTTGTTGCTCTGTGTGAGTGGGGAGGGTTTAGAGAGGGGACAGTGCCCTTGCCTGGCCTCTCGGGATTGCCTGGGAGGAATCTGTGTCCTGGCACTTGTCCTGTTGTTAGTCACTTAACTTTCTTCTCTTCTCCCCGTATGTCACTTGTGTCTTTCCAGCTGTTGCTCTGGTGCCGAATCCCAGAGGGGGTGGGTCTGAGTGAGTCCCAAGTCTGTCATGGGCCCTTTAAGAGGAGTCTCTTGAGAATCCCAGTTTCTTCTGCCAACCCAATCCCCACTGGTGTTTACAGTGAGAAGTTATGGGGACTTATTTTCCTGGTGCTGGAACCCTGGGCTGGGTGGTCTGGTCTGAGGCTGGGATCACTTGCTCCAGAGATATCCCCGCTGATTTTTATCCACCACACGTGAATGTGAGACTGCGGTTCCACTGCTTCCCAGTGCCGCTCCGAGTCTGCACCTCCCCACAACTCCCCGTGCCTCTCTGCATCTCTGCCCCTCCTACGCACCCGGTCGGATGTGGCTTCTCTGAGTCCTTGGTCGTCAGACTTCCATAAAGCTTGATTTTGTGATGAATCTGGGTGATACTTCCACAACTCGCCATGCCTCTCTGCATCTCTGCCCCTCCTACGCACCTAGTCGGATGTGGCTTCTCTGAGTCCTTGGTTGTCAGACTTCCATAAAGCTTGATTTTGTGATGAATCTGGGTGATACTTCTTTTGTAGTCTAGTTGTAATCTAGTCTGGCTGTAGTTGTGCCTGGAGACAAGTGTGTTTGTCTCTATCTCCATCTTGGCTGGAAGTGTACTTTAAAATATTTTAATTCTAATGGGTATGGCCTGGTGTCCCATTGTGTTTTTTTTAAATACTAAAAAAATTTTAAATGATACTTGACATATATTAGTTTCAGGTATATAATGTAGTAATTAGATATTTATATAATATAGGAGGAAGTTACTCCAGTAAGTCTGGTACCCATTTGGCACCATACGTAGTTATTACAATATTATTGACTATATTTCCTGTGCTGTACATTTTATTTTAAAGATTCTATTTCATTGAAATATTTGTTTGGGCCTGGATTTCTGCCATATTGTTTTAATTGTTGTAGGGTTATAGTATGTTTTGATGTTTGATATGTTAGGAATGCTTCTGGTTTTAATAATACTGTCATTCTTATGAATTTTTTAAATTCTTTAGCTAAGTTTTTAATAGCTGCCTTCTTAAGAGTCTTTTGAGACTCTAGCATAAATTTTCTCTTTAGTTTATTAGTATATCATGTCAATCACAATAATAGATTTTTGGAATAAAATGTACTTTACCTTCAGATTTTTTATTTAATTCAGTAAAAAAATTGATTTCAGGATTTTTGCAATAGTAATTAAATGTGATTATTCTTCCTGTACTATTTGACAAGATTGTTGTTCTTCTCTGTGCCCTGGAAAGTTTGACTAAATTGATACCTTCAATGTTCTGGGATTGTCCCTTTTCAAGGAGAAGGTTTGTTAAAACCTTTTACTGTCTTTTTAAGATTTTTCCTTTATCCAGATGTTTGTTTTTCAGTCTTTTCTGTTAATTTGTTTTATGAAAAATCATCAGTTTTACTTTGGTTTTCAAGTTTATTATATTGTAATTAAAAACTTTATTTTGTAGTTGATCATATTTCTTTTTTCCCCCTAACATTCTTTTCTTCACTTTTTCTCTGTTTTTGCTGTTTATTAGACTGGCCCTTTTAAGAACAAGTTCTTGGTTTATTGATCAAAGATTTTTGTTTTATGTTCTCTAATCATTGTTATTTTATTTTTGATGATTCCTTTTTATTTTTGATGGTTTCTTTCTCTTAAAATTTGTTGAGATATTTTAAACTGTTAGTTTTTTTCCTTTTAGTCTTAACAAATACATTTAAGGGTACATCTTTTCTTTGTGTAATATTTTGATTTTGATATATATACTATTGTCATTCTAATTATTTTCTCAATCTCTCATTTGGTTTGATTTTCGCATTTATCCAAGAGTTTTTAATTTCCTAAATGGCTTGACGGGTTTGGTGGTGGTGGCAGGGAACGGGTTATTATCTGGTTGGTTTGTTGTATTGAGGTGCAAGAATGCGGCCTGGAGAGGGATGGTTTTTGGAATTTGAGATTTTCTTTGTGATTTAATACTATTAGTGTTTATACATGAAAGTGCTTTTGAAAAAGAATAATCTCTTATTCTTTGCTGAGTATGCAGAGTTCTAAATATGTCACTTAAATCAAGTTTTTAATGGTATTATTCCAATCCACAATTTCTCTGTTTTTTCCCCCCAAAAGTGTCGAAGTTTATTTAGAAAGTCAGAGAGAGAAAGAGCAAGAACACTCCCTGTTTATTCTTTGCTACCTAACCTGTTATTTTCTTAGTTATATGTGATCATCTCTCAAGGGGCTGGGAGTTGCAGGTGTGGTGCTGGCATGTGGCCACCCTTTCCTATGGGGGACCTTGGGGGCAAGGTGACTTGATGTGAAACAACCCAGAGTCAGGGTTCCCTAGGTAAGTACGGTGGGCTGAGGTAAGGTTCAGGGAGTTCTTGGGAATACCCAGTGTGGTTGGTCAGGCAGGCCTCTCAGGGTAGGTTGCCTCCACTGGTCTGCCAGCAGCTGGGTAATTTTCTTAGCAATAGCTGCAGCTTCATCTGGTAAGACGGGAGGTTGGTTCAGTTACTGCAGTGTGTGCCTGAGGTGTAATCTCTCAGGGCTGTACCTTCAAACACCACCAGTGGTGGAGAATGGCTTTCAGCCCCCTTGAGCCAGATGATTTTGAGAGCTGGTTAGGATGTGGATAATTGTTGGCAGCTTCCAGCCCCTAGAAACTCTTTGTGAGTTATGTTGAACATGCCTGAGATGGCAAGATGAGAGAAGCTTAAAGGAGAAATGGGTAGTTCCAGGTGGTGCTTCCTCAGGGTTGTCTTTAATAAATTGAAATTAGGAAAATGCCACATTATTTTGATATGAGTTACCACAGTTCAAAAATATTTTTAAAGTATATTTTATTGATTATGCTGTTGCAGTTGTCCCAATTTTTTCCCTTTGTTTACCTCTGCCCGGTACCCCTCTTCCCTCCAGCAATCCCCTCCCCACTTAATTCATGTTCATGGGTTGTGTGTGTAAGTTCTCAAAAATATTTCTCAGTGGTCATTTAATTATCAACCGTTGGAAGAAATCAGGGGCATAAATATTCTGGAAAATGAGCAGTATAAAATTATTTATAATTTTCTTTGGAATGAATGTTTTTAGATGTTAACATGAGTGGTTCAGATGTTTGTCAATTTCTAGAATTTAATACTACAGATAATATAGTATCACCATGAAAACATGCCCGAGTAATGTAGGGGTGAGAGGTGGGAGAGTGTTTAACTTTTTCCTTTTGTATCGGCTTAGATTTCTTTGACTAAAACCCGGTGGCATAAGTAAAAAGTGATGTTGAACACAATAAAAATATCAGTTTTAAGAGCTGTTGTCTGTGTTTGATAATTTAAGGTAACTGAAACCCTGCGTGAATCCCATAAGGGATTTACAAAGTATTAGGTGATAAGATGGAATATTTGTTGTGGATAATTTACCTGGAATAAGAGATCAGAAAATGGATTAATTATCAATATGTACCTTTTGGTATTCATTTTTATAATATATTTTTAAATCCTTGCCCGAGGATACTATTATTGATATTAGAGAAAGGGGCATGGAAAGAGATAGAGAGAGACATTGATGTGAGAGAGAAACATCGATCGGACGCCTTTCAGATGTGCCCTGACTGGGGACCGAACCCGCAACCCTGGGCATGCGCCTTGACTGGGGATTGACCCCGCAACATTGCAGTGCACAGGAGATTGTTCCAACCAACTCAGTCACCTGGCCAGGGCGGTATTCATTTTTAAAACCAGTTTTGAGAGCCTATACCTTGACAGTTTCTCTCTGGTCATTCTTGAGTCTTTGTGATACATGATGAGCTTTTAATTTAATTTCAATGTTTAAAACTTAGAACTGAGTCATTGTTTTGTCTTCTGAAATGTTTGAAGGATTGCTGATGTGAATGTTTCCACATGACTTTTATTTTCATTTATTGACATTATGTTTGTATTTAATGCCTTTACAGCTATTCATTAGAACACACAGTGCAATTTTTAAACTGTGTTTTTGAAGGAGACCCTGTAAAAACAGTTGTAGCGCAAGAGTTTGTTCACCAAAATGAGAATGTCACTTCTTATACTACACAGAAGTCTAAGGAGAAAAAGGTACAGAATGACTCGTTTTTTCCTATAATGATAATTGTCTATGAAGGTATAATAGATTTATTGAGATAATTTGATGATTATTTCTCACCATTTTGACTAGATTGGAAATTTAACCACCAATTGAATGTTTGGTTTAGAATGTCTGTTTACTCAAAATAGTGAATTTATAGCTGATTATTTTTTCCTTCAATGCCATTGTCATTGTGTACAAGCACTTGCATTTCTATAACTTTTTGTATGTACACTCTGTATAGCAGAGTATGGGGCTTCATTGAATAGCAGTGGGGTTGTGATATGATGGGCCATAGGCTATAACTATGTGGGCAGAAATATTTAACTCTTTGAGAAACTGTCAAACTTTTTTTTAAAGTGGCTGCACTATTTTTTACATTCCCATCGGCAGTGTATGAAGGTTGCAGTTTCTCCATATCTTCTTTGACAATTGTTATTGTCAGTTTTCTTGATTATAGCCATCCTAGAAGGTGTGGTGTTGTCTTAAGGGTGCCTGGGATTTGTTTTAATCAGGTATGGTAAAACACTAAGACATGGAGATGCCATGAAGGAAGAAGTTTATTATATGCACAGATCCCTAGTAACAAAAGGTCTGGCCTGCCACCCGGGTTACATGGGGAAGCACCAGGGTTGGTCAGGAGGTGGACTAAGTAGGGAAGAAATATGGACAAGAGACTTTTTTGTGGTTTCTGTGGGGAGAAATGGGTGAGGCAGGGTTAGTAGGCTTAGGATTGGCTAGTTTGAATAATTTCAGTAGGCTCTGGGGCATGGGAACAGTTTGTGTTTAGTTTTCTGGTGCCTGGCCTAGGTGACTAGGGTATGTTGATAGTGGTCCAGAGGGTGAGAACCTCAAAAGGAGGTGATTGGGATATGGGCTCTAGATTTGTTGGTTTGCATATGTAAGATGCTCTAGCAGGGAAATTGTTTGCTATCTCTGGGAATTCATTAATACCAGGGTGGGGGTGGGGTGCTGTTTCTCCAGGGGTTAGCAAAGCCCCAGGTGTCAAAGAATCAGAATTTAGGAAATAAAAGAAATGCCTAATATAGAAGTGATACCTCAGTTTGGTTTTGATTTCCCTGATGACTGGGAATGTTGAACATCTTCTCATGTGCTTATTGGCCATTTGTTTATCTTCTTTGAAGAAATATCTGTTTGTAGTCTTTGTCTATTAAAGAAACTTTTTGGGAGGTGTAAGAGTTATTTATATATAACTTACAAAATTTTCTCTCATTTGGTTGTCTTCACTTTTTTTGTGTCCTTCGAAGCATCAGAGTTTTGAATTTTGATGATGTGCTGTCAGATCTAAGAAGCCATTGCCCAATCCAAGGTCATGAGATTTTTACCTATTTTTTTCTAAAAGTTTTATAGATTTAGTGCTTACAAAATAGCCTATTGTTCTGAGTTAAATTTGTACACAATGTGAGATAGGGGTTCAAGTTCATTCTTTTATGTGTGCATGTCCAGTTGTCATAGCACCACTTGTTCCAAAGACTCTTTTTTTCCCAGTGAATTTTCTTTTCCTCCTGTTGACAGTGCATTGATTGTAAGTTTATTGCTAGATTCTCAATTCTATTCCATTGATCTGTATGTCATTGTATCATTACCACACTGTCTTTTGGTTACTGTAGCTTTGTGGCAAGTTTTGAAATTAGGAAATGTAAGTTTCCAGCTTTGATCCTTTTTAAAGGTTATTTTGACTGTTATGGTCCACTTGCATTTCCATGTGATTTTTGGATCAGCTTGTCAATTTCTGCAAAGAAGCCAAATGGAATTTTTATGGGAATTGTTTGAGTCTGTAGATCAATCAGATTGAGTTGTGTTGCCATCCTAGTAATACTGTCTTCCAATTTGTGAACATGGAGAGTCTTTCAGTTTATTTAGGTCTTCTTAATTTCATTCAACAGGGTATTATAATTTTGAGTATTAAGTTTTGCATCTCTTTAAGTTTATTTTTAAATATTCTAAAAAATAAATATTTTTGATGCTATTATAAATGGAATAGTTTTTAATTTTATTTTTGGATTGTATAAAAGCATAGAAATATAATTGATCTTACATATTCATCTTCTAATAGCCTTAGGGTTTAAAATTTTTTAATAGGTTTTTTTTATTCTGCCGGTCTTACTTATTAATAGGGTATATTATTAGTACCCAGGAACAGTGTATATGTTCCATTTTTTCTTTGAACATTTTACCACCACTTACTTGATGAATAGGACAAAGGTAATTTTGATATTCATGTGATCTGTTAGTGCTGTACGTGGAGCAGGAACCAAGCCAGGACACTGATGCCCGTGTTCATCATGGATAGAGAGGTGCAGTATATTGTAAGATGCAGAGAGCGTAGAAGATGATGAGGTGGAGGCCTGGAAGGCCAAACGGGGAATGAAGATTACTTCTTTTCTTTCCCGATACTAGAGCAGTGATCTGTGGATCACTGTGGTGATAGAAGAGGTGGTGGGGAGAGGATATACTTGCTCAAGGAAATGTTGGGATCAGAAAAGGGGTTTTATGAGTTATACGACTACTGGCCAAAATGTAAACTTTAAGTTATTTTGGAGATCATTCTCAGCTTTTCTCACAAAATGTAGGCAGATCTTACAACACTGATAAAAATCCTCTTACATTTGTGAGCAGGAAAGTCTGTCCTTGATGTCCCAGGACTTGAAGGGACCACACAGATACTGATTTCAGGGAGTATCATGGAATCAGTAATGTTTTGGTTTATCTGTTTTCAAGAAACTAACATTGAAATCTATGTTTTATTAATACTACTGCTTTTTCCTCTTAGTCTTTAATAAAATTTAAGATTTTTGTACCATAGGAAATGATTTTATTATTATAGTACATCATGCTTTCAACAGAAGTAAGTGGTACTAATTAGGTGAATTCTTAGGAAGCATGTATTCCACTTGGCTCTTGTTAATGAGGTCACAGTAAACCACATCACTATGAGATAGATATAAAAATAAATTTCAGTTTTATTTTAAAAGAGAGTAGCTATTTGAGAAAGTGTTTCTCTTTATATACTGTTTTTTCTTTTTAAAAATAACAAACAAAGGGTCTCTTCCCAGAAATCCAAATGTAATTTGCATTTTTTACAATGAACACCAGCAGAGACTTTATTGCTATGAAGTATTTATGTTCATAGCGTTAGTCACTGTGGGCTTTTCAAAGCTCATAAAAAGTGTTTTTATAATCCCTTCCCCGGGATGCAAGCCATATACTTGTACAGTATTTAAACATTAATATGAAACAAGCTTGTGATTAAGTATTGGTGAGAGTGACATAAGGATGTAGGTTCTGTGCATGTTCTGTGTCAGAGAGAGCCTTGTGTTCTTCCATAAAACAGGCTGGATATTTGTTACAAAAATTAATTGTGTATCTATAGATTTTTCACTCTGGTAATGGGTTAGGAGTATGGTGATGCCTTTATTTTATTATTCTCTCTTTTTCAAAAGGTTTCTTTAACTCTTTCAAGCCTTTAGAGTTCTAGGGGTCACCCTGGCTGGTGTGGCTCAATGGATTGAGTGCTGATTCCATTCCCAGTCTGGGTTATAGGCCAGGTTCCTGATAAGGGGCATGTGAGAGGCAAGAGATCGATATATCTCTTCCAGATCGATTTTTCTCTCCCTCTCTTCCCCTCTTTCTAAAAATAAACAAACAAACAAATAAATAGAATTCTAGGGTTCAAGTAAGTAAAATGTAATGAGTGAAAAATTATATAACCAACTACTGTTACATATTAAACATGGTCTTCCCAACATTTCTCAGCTTCTAAACACAGGCAGAAAATGTTTAAAAAGGTATTTTTAAATCAAATTAGCAATGTATATTATGTAATACATACATGTAATGTTTTATAATATTTAACATACATGAATATGTTATGAACATATAAATGAACATATAAAATTATGAAACAATTTTAATGGTCACTTTTATTAAAGATTGTATTATATAGTACATTATAATTACAATCCTTCATAATATTTCTAATTTGTTCTAATTATAATCCTTGATAACACATTTCTAATATGGTCGAGACCTACCTATGTTGTTGCAAATGGCAGTATTGTGTTTTTTTATGGCTGAGCAGCATTCTTTGTACGTATGTCCATCTCTGTCTGCTCATCTGTCAGAGGACACTTTTCTTGTTTCCTGGTCTTGGCCACTCTGAATGATGCTGAAATGAGCAGAGGGGTAACTATATCTTTATGAATAAGTGTTTTCCAATTCTTGGGGGTAGATACCTAGATGAGGGGCTGCTGGGTTGTATGGTAACTGTTCTTAATTTTTCGAGGGACCTGCCTACTGTTCCATAGTGTCTGTACCAGTTTACATTCCCACCAGCAGTGAGTGGAGGTTTCTTTTTCTCCAGAATCTTTCCAACACTTGTTATTACAGATGTCTTGTTGATTGATAATAGGTATTTTGACAGGTGTCAGATGGTGTCTCATTGTAGTTTCAGTTTACATATCTTTAACAGCTAGTGAAGTTGAACATCTCTCTTCATGTATCTGTTGGCCATTTGTCCTCTTTGGGGAAGTATCATTTTAGGTCCTCTGCCTGTTTATGAGTGGGTTATTTTGTTGTTGAGTTGTATAAAAAACTATAAATTGATTGCGGTTCAATTCCCAGTCAGGGCACATGCCTGGGTTGCAGGCTGGTTCCCTGCAGGCCAGTTTCCAGCAGGGGGCGCACGAAAGGCAACCATACATTGATGTTTCTCTCCCTCTCTCCTTCCCCTGTAAAGATAAATAAATAAAATCTTTAAAAAAAAAAAACCCTATAAATTGAAACATGCTATCACTGGCCTGGGCCAGTGTGGTTCAGCTGGTTGGTTGTCACCCTGCAAAGTGAGGGGTCACTGGTTCATTTCCTGCTAAGAGCACATGCCTGGGTTGCTGGTTTGGTCCCTGGTCAGCATGGGAACAAGAGACAACCGGTCAATGTTGTTGATATTTCTCTCCCTCTGCTTCTCCCTCCCTTTCCCCCTCTCTAAAAATAAGTAAATAAAATCTTTCAAAAAAAAAGAGAAGAAATATGCTATCATTACAAAAAAAAAAGTAAGGAAAGAGAAATATGCCATAATTACCTTCTGTGACTGGACCCTTTGAATGGTTTTAGGAACTAAACTTTGAAAAATTTTGCATTAGTCACTAAGTGCATGACTTAACTAGATAGATACAGGGGAGATACGTCTCTTTTCTAAGAAGAAAGATGGAAAATAGTGGAGCCTAGTTTTTGTATATACTTTTCTGAAGGTAAAGCCTGTATTTTCTGCTTTCTCTGTATTATACTCAGTTGGGTAATGTCTTATAGGCAAAGAAATTGAAAGAACCCGAAGATGCACCAAGTGAATCATCCTTCCAGGATTTTGAGTACCCAGACTACGATGACTACCGGGCAGAGGCCTTCCTGCACCAACAGAAGAGGATGGAATGCTACACCAAGGCAAAAGAAGCTTATCGAATGGGGAAAAAAAACGTTGCCACATTTTATGCCCAGCAGGTGAGGCATAAAAACTGATCACTGTTTTCTTCTTTGTCACCTATGATGTCTGAATAATCTTGAAGGAGATACTTGTATTGTGACTAATTGAATTATCCTGGGGAATGTAGATTATGTAAGTGACATAAGGTATCTTGATATATAAGAAATGTATGATTCTGAGAATTTCATCTCCTTTGAAATTCTCAGCATTTGAAATTAAATGCTCAGTTTCTGTGATTGCTTTTGCATTTATAGTTTACATGAATTGCTGTTTATTTTGACAGTCTATTTTCTTTTAGGTTAGATTCTCTTACTCAGTACTACTTTTAAACAGAAACAGTAAGTCTTCTGGAGGAAGGATAGCAGACTGTTAATATCTCAGGGTGGGATTATACGGTGCTTTATATCACGTTTGAATTTTTAGTAATGTATTGCTTTTATAGTTAGAAAGAAAGTTACATTAATATTTTTCAGGGGAATAAAATACCTGCTGAGTTCATTTGGCATAGTATTATGAGAAACCTACCTGATTTTATTTTTGTGGTTCGATATGGCTTACTTTTTGTGATTGAGCAGAGAAAAGGTATCAAGCTGGTATAACCCTGTGGGCCCTAATAGCAAACTTTGAGGGTGTCAAAAGGGGTGGGGCTCCAGCCCTGGCCTATGTGGCTCCAATGGTTGGGTGTTGTCCTGCAAACCAAAAGGTCAGAGATTTGATTCACATGCCTGGGTTGTGGGTTCAGTCCCTAGTGGCGTTTCTCTCTCACATTGATGTTTCTGTCCTCTTTCTCCCTTTGCCTCTCTCTAGGATCAATAAAAGAAAAAAAAAGTGGGGGTAAAACTCGGGATTATCAAAGGATAAACCACTGGATTCCTTCTGAGATGGGTGGTGTTTGTTTTAGTTTCTCTTTTCTGCAAGTTTTGGGTCAGAAAATAAGTTAGAAATGATTTAGGAGTTTGAGAACTTTCTTATCATCCACCAAAATAAATTTTGTTGCATTCTTACATATTTAAATGCCTTGCATTTAAAAGAATTTTAGATTAGTTGTTCCCTTTTTTGTGCTACCTTGTATGTGGGTCACTGTTTGTTTTTTCATTGCCTAGCAAATAGCAAATATACAAATGTTTTTTACTGGTATGTTTATAATTGAAGGGTAGTCTCCATGAGCAGAAGATGAAAGAAGCCAATCACCTTGCTGCCATGGAGATCTTTGAGAAAGTCAATGCCTCCCTGCTGCCACAGAATGTTTTAGACCTTCATGGACTGCATGTGGATGAAGCTATAGAACATTTGATGGCAGTTTTACAGCAGAAAACTGAAGGTAGGGCTATGAAAATGACAGATTTTCAATACAAAGTAAGTCTTTGCTTATATTAGTATCAATTGCAGATTCAGGAGAGTCTGAATGTACAGGCTGAGGATATCTGTGCCACATTTATAGATGTTTATATGAAGCTTATTCTTTAAGGGAACCTTCTTAGAAAAGAGTTGTCATTGTCATGGCCATTAACAGTTTATTTCCCTGTTTTATTCTGTTTGTATTCCTGTGATGTGTTTGTTAAAGGAAGGGCATAGTGTAATCTAGGAATCTCGAGACTTAAAAGTGGAACTTTTCAGGAATATTACACATCTTGTTTGTTAGACATTTATTAAAACTAATAGATGTTTATTTTAGGGGTCAGTTGTTCAAGGATGGTTAATAAAATACGGAAGTAAATAAGGTGATAGAATTTTTACAGAATCAGACTTCCGCCAAGATGGAGGCATAGGTGGAGACGCCATGCTTTCTCCCACAACCAAGTTGAGAGACAACAAAGTATTAGCAACAGAAAACACAGCCAGAACACAGAAAATTGAACTTTTCGGAAGTCTGATAACAACAAATTCTTCAGCCTGACTGGTAAGAGGGGCGAAGGCAGCAGCAGGCAGAGCAGGTTTGCACAGAAAAACTCGGTCAGATGGACTTTGGCCCTCGGATCCCAGGCGTGGGGTTGCAACAGGCGGACCCAGCGAGCGACCCAGTGAGCGACCCAGTGAGCGACAGGTGGAACCAGCGAGGGTGCAGGGCGGTGGGTTGACTGTGGTCCCAAATTCCTGTGCAGATAGACCAGCGAGGGAGTGGGCAGTGAGACAGGACCGAGCAGGCCCCAGCGGCAGGAAGTAGCAGAGGGGGCCATCATTTCCCCGCACCGACCCTGCTCCTCATAATTAATGGGTGCGAACAGACCAAAAATGGCTCAAGAAGACCTCAGAGCCCCAGAGCCCATAACTCTAAGTGACCAAGAAATAGCAGAACTTTCAGACGCACAGTTCAAAACACTGGTGATCAGGATGCTCACAGAACTGGTTGATTTTAGTCACAAATTAGAGGAACAAATGAAGGCTAAACTAATTGAAATGAAGGGAATTGCACAGGAAACCACGTGATGAAGAGGAAACTGGGTCTCAAATCAAGGGGGTGAACCAGAAGGAAGAAAAAAAATGACCAAACAGAAAAGGATGAAGAAACAAGAATTCAAAAAAATGAGAAGAGACTTAGGAACCTCCAGGACATCTTTAAATGCTCCAACATCCGAATTATAGGGGTACCAGAAGGGGGAAAGGAACAGCCACCAGTGGAAAACTTATTTGAACAAATAATAAAAGAGAATTTCCCCAATCTGGCAAAGGCAATAGACATAGACTTCAGGAAATCCAGGAAGCTCAGAGAGTCCCAAAGAAATTGGGCCCAAGAAGAAACACACCAAGGCACATCATCATTACATTAGCTAAGATTAAAATGAAGGAGAGAATCCTAGAAGCAGCAAGAGATAAGGTGACAGTCACCTACAAAGGAGTTCCCATCAGACTGTCAGTGGATTTCTCAAAAGAGACCTTACAGGCAAGAAGGGGCTGGAAAGAGGTATTCCAAGTCATGAAAACCAAAGACCTAGAAACCAAGATTGCTCTATCCAGCAAAGTTTTCATTTAGAATGAAAGGACAGATAAAGTGCTTCTCAGATAAGATCAAATCCAAGGAGTTCATCATCACCAAGCCCTTATTATATGAAATGTTAAAGGGACTTACCTAAGAGAAAGAAGATTAAAAAGATGAACAGTGAAAGGACAGCAAACTCACAGTTATTAATACCACACCTAAAACAAAAGCAAACTAAGAGGACAGCTAGATCAGGAGCAGAACCATAGAAATGAAGATCACATGGAGGGTTAGCAACAGGGGAGTGGGAGAAGGAGAAGGGGGGAGAAGGTACAGAAAATAAATAGCATAGACAGTACATAGAAAATAGATGGAGGGAGGGTAAGAATAGCATGGGAAATATAGAATCTAAAGAACTTGAGACACATGGTCATAAACTAAAGGGGGGGAATTGTGGGGAGGGGGTGTGCAGGGTGGAGGGGAATGAAGGGGGGAATAAAACAACTGTAATGGCATAATTAATAAAATATATTTTAAAAATTTTTACAGAAGTATCACAAAAGGCAGACTTTGAGTATTTGCATTATGGTGGTACCCTGTTTTCCCTTTCTGCTCATAGTTTGTCTGTGCAGCTTAGTAGGAAAGGCTACTTCTTACCTCTTACCTGAGCTTTTCCTCTACCCAGGACTTTGGATGAGGCTCTCTTCATGTTTCCCTGTTTCGGTATCATATACTTCACATACATATAAGTATCTTGTTGACTTAGCAGTTTGTTTTCTTGTCATGATCAGAAGGTAGACCTTAGAAAAATTCAGTCTGTTTCAGTTACGCAGACACTACTACTAGACGTTATGCCCTTTCTTCACCAGGGTAGTGTTTTTTAATTCTCACCTTGACTTTTCTTTATATCCTTTTATCATGGAGTCATAGAGTCCCATGCTTCCATTCTTATCTTGTGGCCCCTTGGCCCTGCCTTGTCATTGACAGCTGTAGTGTTCTGGTCATTGATAAACATATATTTTAGAAAGCCTTATACTATACTTTATATAGATTTATCAACTCAACACATATCACTTATAGTTAATTAAATACTTGATTAAATATGATTGATATAAAAGGTAGAAAATTCATCTATCATAAAGAACATATTAAAAAGGTTACAGAGTAATATAATGAACACCTTATTATCTATGTATCCCAGTAACAAGCGATAACATTTTACCCTACATTCTTCATGTTTTTTTATTCTTTTTTTTTTTTTGTAGTCTTCCAAATGCTTTTCTCTTTCTTCCCTCCCTTTCTAGTGGAAATCAGTATCCTTTTGTTTGGTCTCCACCCTTCCTGCCCTTACTGTATGTGCATAGCCATACATAGCCTGTCTGTAGTACTCCTTTTGTGAGCTTTAAATAGTGAACACACATGGTGTCACATTGTATCATCAGCCAAGCTGCTTATTTTATTTGCACCTACTATAGTTTTCGAGATGGCTTAGCTTGCTCAGCCTGGTTTTAACTGCTGTGTAGTGTTCTGTGAGTGCATCGCACTGCATTGTTCCTAAATGGCGGGTGTTTAGTTACAATGAACTTTATTTTGGATGTCAGCATGTGTGAGTACTCGTCACTATTTCCTAGCTTTTTATATAGAAAAATTAAAAACCTAGAGGGGAGTTGAAAGAATTGTACAATAAACACCCATATATTCTTTACCTAGATTGATTAGTTTTGGCCACGTTTGCTTAGCCTCTCTAAAATTGCTTTATACCGAACCATTTGAAAAAAGTTGTTAAGCATTGTGGCACTTTACCTCTAAATACCTCAGCTTGTTTATCACTTGAGAACAAATTCATTCTCCTACATAATCACAATACCATTCTCACTTTTAGGACATTTAACATTGTTTTATTAATATTGTCCCATATACAGGCCGCATTCAATATTCATTGATAATCCTTGGCTAACTCAGTTATTTTATTGGTGATTGCATATGGTGTTTTATAGTTTGTGTCCATTCCATGTTATTAGCAGATATTCTTTGATGAAGGACAGGATTCTACTCCTCCCATGGTTTTTGTTGTTGTTGTTGTTTTTATATATTTTAAATTTTATTGATTATGCTGTTATAGTTGTCCTGATTTTTCTCCCTTTACCCTCTCCCACTCAGCACCCCCAGTCCCTTAGGCAGTGTCCCCACCATTGTTCACATCTGTGAGTCATGCATATGAGTTTTTTGTTACTCCATTTTCTATACTGTACTTTACATCCTCAAGGCTATTCTGTGCAATTACCTAGGTGCATTTCTTAATCCCCTCACCTCTTCACCCATTTCCCCAGACCTCCCTCCCATCTGGCAACCATCAAAATACTCTCCACATCTGTGATTCTGTCTGTGTTTTTCTTGTTTGCTTAGTTTGATTTTTAGATTCAATTGTTAATAGATATGTATTTTTTGCCATTTTATTATTCATAGTTTTGATCTTTTTCTTAAATATGTCCCTTTAACATTTCATATAATAATGGTTTGGTGATGATGAACTCCTTCAGTTTTTTCTTGTCTGGGAAGCCCTTTATGTGCTCTTCGATTCTAAATGATAGCTTTGCTGGGTAGAGCAATCTTGGCTGCAGGTCCCTGCTTTTACTGACTTTGAGTTTCTTGCCAATCAATCCCTTCTAGCCTGCAAAGTTTCTTTTGAGAAATCAGCTGATAGTCTTTCAGAGACTCCCCTGTAAGTAACTAACTTCTTTTCTCTTGCTGCTTTTAAGATTCTCTCTTTATCTTTAACTTTTGCATTTTAATTATGATGTGTCTTGGAGTGGCACTTTACATCTGTCTTGTTTGGGACTCTCTGTGCTTCCTGGACTTACATGTCCATTTCCTTTACCAAATTAGGGAAGTTTTTCTTTCATTTTTTTCAAATAGATTTCCAATTACTTGCTCTTTTTCTTTTCCTTCTGGCACCTCTGTGAGGAGAATGTTGGACATCTTGAAGTTGTCTGAAAGCTGCTTACACTATCCTCATGTTTTTGGATTCTTTTTTCTTCTTGTTGTTCTGATTGGTTGTTTTTTTGTTTCCTTATGTTCCAAATGATTGATTTGATTCTCAGATTCATCCACTCTACTGTTGTTTCCCTGTAAATTTTTCTTTATTTCAGTGAGTGTGTCATTTGTTTCTGGCTGGATCTTTTTTATGCTGCTGAGGTCCTCACTAAGTCCCTTGTGCATCCTTATAACCAGTGTTTTCAACTCTGCATCTGATTGATTGCTTATCTCCACTTCGATTAGTTCTTTTTCTGGAGTTTTGATCTGTTCTTTCATTTGAGCCATGTTTCTTTGTCTCCTCATTTTGGCAGGTTCCCTGTGTTTGTTTCTTTATATTAGGTAGAGTTCGCTTGACTCCATGTCTTGGCAGTGTGCCCTAATGTAATAGGTGTCCCGTAGGGTCCAGTGGCACAGCCTCCCCTATCACCCAAGCTGGGGACTTGAGGTGCACCCTCCATGTGGGCTCAGTACGCCCTTCTCTTGCAGTTGAGGCTTAGTTGCTGTTGGCAGATCAATGGTAGGGATTTACCCAGTCCAGTCAGCTGCTGTGATTGCCTGTGACCCCTTACCACCAACTTCTACCCTCTGTGGGAGCTGTGCAGGGGCAGGGTGGTTGTGCTCTGACATGGTCTCCACCTGTCCACTGGGTGTACTGGTGCTCAGATTTCCCAGGTGGTGCAGGCAAGGTCACTTCTCACCTTTATTTTGCCCAGGACCAGTCTGCCTGAGCCAGAAAGCAATCTGAGCTGGCTGCTACTTGTGCTGGGCTTGGAGAGTCCCATGCAAAGCCAAGCTGTGAATCTAGGCTGGCTGCTCCTACTGCTGGGCCTGGGGATCACAGAGGCTAACTCTTGCTTGTTTAGGAGGGTTTAGGAAGTTGTGAAGCATGAGCTAAGACCAGCTATTCATATGAAAAAGCAGATTGGTTGGGTCTGTAAGTTGGGTAGGGCAGAGTCTCTGGGGAGCCCCAAGGTGGGGGTCAAACAGTGTTAGGTTGATGGAGCCTGGGATATGGCACCAGCTTGCTGTCTATGCGGCTTTGTGGCGGGGCAGGGGGGTAGTTTAGAAAAGGGACAGTGGCTTCTGCTTGCCTTGATGCCAGACAATTCATTTCTTCCCTGTATGCCACTGGGGCCTTTCAAGCTGCTGCCCTGTTGCTGGAGCTCAGAGGAGGTGAGTCTGAGTAGGTGAGTCCATGTGTGGGTTTTTTAATAGGAAGTGCTCTGGGCTCCAGCCATTTCTTTCACTGATTTAATCCCCTGCTGGTTTTCTTGCAGTCAGAGTTGTGGGTACTTGTCTTCCTGGCACTGGAACCCTGGGCTGGGAGGCCTGGTGTGGGGCTGGGACTCCTTGCTCCTGAGATATCCCTCCCAAAATTTTATCCACTACATGTGGGCAAGGGACCAGCCCATTCTGTGTCTGCGCCCCTCCCACCAGTCTGTGGGATGTGGTTTCTTTAATTCTGTAGTTTCAGATTCTCTTCCTTCCTCTCTCTCTAAATCAATAAATATATCCTAGGGTGAAGATGAAAAAGAATGTCTTTCTGACCTAGAATCTAGTCAGTAATGATTATTAAATCATTTATATAGAGAGCCTTTTCAACATTGAAAAAAACTTCTGAATAAAGGGTAGGTATTTCATTCTGTAGATGAAGAAACTAGTTTTTAAAGTTTAATAAAATGGAAAATAATAATGGAAAGTGTTGATAGGGATGTGGAGAATTGCAACGCTCATATTGCTAGTGGGTATGTTAAATGGTACAACTATGGAAAACGTTGGCATCCTTCAAAAAGTTAAACATAGAGTTACCATAAGACACAGCAGTTTTGCTCTTAGAGAATTAAAATCTGTTTACACAAAAACTTGTACCTGGGTGTTTATAATAATAAAAAAGTGGAAACAATCCAGATGCCCATCAACTGATGAATGGACAAATGTGGTATATTTGCACAGTGGAATATTATTCAGCCATGAAAATGAACGAACTACTGATACATGCCACAACATGGATGAACCTTGTAAACATTATGCTGTGTGATAGAAGCCAGGTACAAAAGGCCACATGTTACATGATTTTCATTCTATATGTCCAGAATAGGCAATCCACAGAATCAGAAAGTACATTATCAACTGCTAGAAATGGGGGAAAGGTGATGGAAAGGGGGGCATGTGGATTGACTGCTAATGTATAGAATTTGTTTTTGAGATGGTGTAATGTTTTGGAATTAGATTGTATTGATGGTTGTACAATATATACTAAAAACTACTGAATTGTACATTTTAAAAATGTAAATTTTATGTTATGTGAATTTTATAGCTATACAAAAATTACAAGAAAAAAGAAGTTAAATAATTTGTTTAAGGTGGTAGATGCTTGGTCAGACCCAAGATAGAAATGCCTTCTGGAAGCCAAGGCCATTTGCTGCCACCTGAGGTGGCCTGTAGTTTCTGTCAGTCACCACCAGGTGGTAGTATTGATGAATGGAAATGTGTCCAGGGGAAAATCTATGGTTCTGCCCTAAATTGCTTTTATTTATTTATTTTTTTAAAGATTTTATTTACTTATTTTTAGAGAGAGGGGAAGGGAAGGAGAAGGAGAGGGAGAAAAACATCAATGTGTGGCTGCCTCTGGAACGTCCCCTACTGGACCTGGCCTGCAACCCAGGCACGTGCTCTGACTGGGAATCAAACCGCAACCTTTTGGTTTGCAACCCACGCTCAATCCACTGAGCTATACTAGCCAGGGCCTAAATTGCTTTGTCATAAAAGGTGATTGTCAAAATTTGGGATAAAGCATAAAAAAAAATTCTTACTCTTCTGTGCTTTATGATTGACCACCTACAAAGTATTTTTGCCTCATGAGCATCAGAAACATATAAAGCTTTAGGACCCATGGCTGCGTTTTAGGGATTTACAGGGAACAGAACAACATGTTAAATGCCACCAGTCAATACAATCTAGACTTTGGAAATCTAGGATAAATGATCCATTTTTCCCAACAAATTGTAAAGAAAACACAGGGAGAGGGAGAATTTTTAGATTAAAATTATTTAAGTATATCAACCAAATGCAATGTGTGTGGACTTGTTTTAACTCTGATTGAAACAAATTACTGTAAAACATTTTTGAGACTATTTGAGGAATTTCTTAGTCATTTTTAGAAACATGATAGTAAGGAACTATTTTTAATTTTGCAAGATATGACATTGTGTTTTTTTTTAAAGAGTCCTTTTTGAAATACACACTGAACTGTTTATAGTTGAAATGATAAGAAATTTAGGATATGCTAAAAAATGAGTTAGTTTCTTTAAAAGCTGGTAAACAGCAGGAATAACCTAAAATTTATGAACCTAATAATGTACATTAATTTATTCAACATTCTTTGAACACCTGCTTTATTTGAGGCATGTGATTCAATGAGAGAGTGTTTTTGGAGCAGTTAAATATTAATGACGGGCCTTGCTGATGAGGGAGCAGTAGTTAAGAGATTTAAGTTTTATTAAAGTAAACCTTTATTTGTAATTCTGCGTCCATAAATAAAAATGCACAAATAATAATTGTATAGTGTAAAAACTTTTTACATAGTAAAAACCTTTGTGTATCTAGCACCCAGCACAATTGAATTTTAAACAAAATATTGCTTGAAATATTGGATATGGATTAGAGTAGAAATGGAGATCTTAAGCAAGGAAGGAATTAAAAATTCAAGAGCAATATATCCTCTTAAAATTCCAAGCTAAATATTGTCCTGGAGTTATCAGACTTGAAAAACCATCTGTGTGTGGATCTGCTGTAGTCATAGGACAACTTAATGAGCAAAAGAAGTATGGAATGTTTTTGATATATATATATATATATATATATATGTATGTATTTTATGTTAATGGTCAAAACTTGTGCTATTTGTAACTGAGGAACAATTGTTAAATTAATTAAATCAACTCTTACTATTAACAGGATTTTAGAATTTGCAGATGTTACTGGCTTTCAGGATTTATACGTTTGATTTTCTCGAGGTCATCACCAGAGTAGGCCGCGGTTTTTTAAGAGGTTCCGTTTCATTCCATACTTAAAAATGGTCCCAGATCCGAGTGGCTCAGTTGGTTGGGCATTGTCCTGCAGTGTGAAAGGTTGCCAGTTCTGTTCCTGATTGAGGCACATGCTAGAGACAACCAGGAGATGTTTTCCTCTCACATCGATGTTTCTCTCCCTCTCTTTCTCCCTTCCTCCCCTTCTCATATCTGTGGTATAATTAGTGGATTTGGTGTTGCCATTCCTGGTGAAAAAATGATACTCTTAAAAATTTTTTTATTTAGTTATTTATTTTTAGAGAGAAGAGAAGGGAGGGGGAAGGAGAGAGGGAAATGTCTATGTGAGAGAGAAACATGGATCAGTTCCTGCTCATGGGCACCCCTGTCCTGGGGCCAAACCCACAACCCAGGCATGTGCCCTGATTGGGAATTGAACTGGTGACCTTTCACTTTGCAGGACCACACCCAACCAGTTGAGCCATGCTGGGCCTGAGAGAGATATTCTATAAAGTAGTCTCGCTTTATAGCCCATCTTTCTGATTATGAAACAAGGACAGATAGGCTAAGTAACTTGTCCACAGTTATAACAGTCATTTAGTGGCAGAGCTGCTAATTAGACCAAAGTTCTGGCTCTGTAGTATTTAACTAATAGGGTTGTTGTGAAGATTCTTAGGTATTAAATAGGTCACATAAAGCAATGGCTGATTCCATGTGTGTAATAATTTTTAGGTTTCAGTATTGTTGTGATTATCAGTAGTTCCGAGAGGGGGGAAATTGCTGGATAGCGCAAGATCTCCCTCCACAAGGAAAGAAGTTCCACTTAAACTTTTAGGCGGATGAATTGCTGCGAGGGTTTCATACTTAAACAGTGCTGATGAAACATTTAAAAACGCTACTGGGGGGCTTTTAAAGTAACAAATCTCTGAATGCCTATGAAAATAACTTTATATGTGTTTTGAGTAGTTCGGGTTTGTTTTTTGATTAAGGATGTAGTTTAAGTGAGTTTTAACTGTTGCAATTCCTGTTGTGACAGAATTTAAGCACAGTGGTGGCAGGCCCTATCTCTCCGTGATTACGGGGAGAGGAAACCACAGCCAGGGAGGAGTGGCTCGCATCAAACCAGCCGTCATTAATTACCTCACAAGCCATAGCTTCAGGTGAGTGCAGGCTGCTGTTACCAGTAATGGCAGTTGCCCATGTATAGACAGTAAACATTAAGAGTGTGCTTGGAACTGTTTGTTGAAGTAGTTAACTAAATTTCACCATCTAATTTTAGCCACAAAGTCATGCTTAAACTGTGATATAACATTCCCTGCTGGATTTATGATGTCCAGTGAACCAGAAATGGAAGAAAAAAATGTGTTTGTTGTTGAAGTAATCATCTGGCAAAACTATTTCTATCATAAATTTAAAATCTAAAAGCAAGTATATTTGTATTTCTTTGATACCACATTATTCAAGATAATTCAGTGATGTATATCATAGCTTAAAATTGCTGTTTGATCATTCATTTGAAAGGAAATAGATATCTGTGAATTTTGGAAGAATTTGGGAGCTCCTGCTGAAATATGGTTATGATCTCAGTTGTTTAAACTTCAGCAGAAACACTGTAGCCACTGTAAATTTCTATATTTTCATAAGTTAAATGTCATTAATGATTTTAGCTGACAAATATGCAATGCCTTTTAAAAAGTAAGTGGTTATTATTCTAATAATAGGAAACAACAAGAAAAGTCTAAAAATAAAGATCTGTTGTTGGGTAGATTCCCTGAGGATATGCATCTTGAAATACCCTTCACCCTCACTACTCGATTCAGTTAGTGTAGCACATTTGGTTTATGTCATGTGATCATATGCTGTTTGCCTCCATTATAGAAAAGGGACCATTAATTCTGAGCATAAAAAGAGATTTCGGTTACTTTTACAAGAAAAGTACTTAGACTGGAACATTATCATGTTGGGATTAATGATCTATTTTAGAGAGTAGTTTTTTAAAAAATTTTCACACTGAGGGTACTGAAATTATTTCACGGCCTGATAAATCAGACTTACCTATTATACTGGAGATTTCTTCTTGGTATTCACTTAATGCATAGAAATAATGTAATTGAAACATTATCTTATGCATGCTTATGCATGCAGCATGCTTTTCTTCATGAAGGTCAAATTCAGGCTTGAGAGTTTTGATAAATCTTAAATTGTAGTAACTATTTAGTTAGTAATCAACCCCAGCCTTAGGAATGTATTTATTTTGACAATAGGTTAAAAGGAACATAACTATAGATATTGGTCCTGGATATTGACTTAATAATGGAGAGTACTTAAATAGTAAATATATTTAGCATAGGCAATTGGAATTGACTGTAAAATACATTTGTAACCAATTTGAAATTTTTATCTCTGAAATGACTCTTTTCTCATTTCTGCAGGTTCTCTGAAATTAAACCAGGGTGCTTGAAAGTCATGCTCAAGTAAAATAAATATCCTCGACTTAGAAGTGTGAAGGTTTGTAGGTTAAAATTAGTTTTATTTGCAGTAATTTACTCAAGTTTACTGTCAACATTCATTTTATTAGAAATAATGTCCAGTTATAAAACAAAAATGTTACAATGTTTTTCAAAATTCAAGAGAAGTTAAAAATTTTATTGAATTAAATGCCAAATATGTTGTCTCTTTAAAATATTAAAGATAATTTTTATTGATTACAAAATGTCTTAGAAAAATTACCAGGTCCAATTTTAAAGTTTGAAAGTGTGCTAATTCTTTCTGAGAGAGGAAATGTTATCTTTCTCTTAAGTGTTGTTTGACACTTGGTGACGATCTCATGGTGTCCGTGAGAGGTGTTTAAAGTGCTGAGACCTGGGTCATGCCTTTCAAAGGCTGCTGCTAGAAAAAGAAATAGTGGTAGCAGTGGAAGAAAGGAGAGCTAACAAAAACACTTGAATGCTTTTTGATCAAAACTAAATACAAAAAAATCATTTTATTTTGCCATGTACTAGAGGGAGACATGCTGTTGTACTGTCTTCTGCTTTGTATTGCGTATGATCTTAATCTCTTAATCTTTTCTTTTTTTCTGCATGTGTGCATTTTCTAGGAGAAAAGTTGGGGTCTGAGATTGTATTGCAGTTTTATACCTTCCATTGGCAGACAAGTTTTCAGAGAAGGAGAAATGGTTAGAGATGTCTACCAGATGCTGCTGTTAATAAGAACTGCTTCTAGAACTGTCAGTGGTATTGCGATAGTACTGGAGAGCTGTCTTTTATACTGAGGCCTGTAATTTCTAAACTGCAGTAAGGTCAACATCCTGTTCAGTTAAAAACAAATGTAGAAAACATTTTTAGTATAATTATAAAAAGAACCTTAGTATTTAAAAGTTTTTTGCCTTTTAAAAAGAGCCAACTTCTGAACGAAAGCCTTCATTGTCTTCTGTTTTTTGGTCAGCTAGAAAGTCCTCTATATGTCAATTGAAATTTCCTTTACATAAATTTAATGCTGTTAAGTGTAATTGTCCAGTAGGAGACAGTGATTAAATAAATTTGACTTTGGATATAGAGAATAATTTCAACATAATATGGTTTTAACAAACAGTTGTGTTGCTTAAAAAATCATTTGGATCAGGAATTAATAGGATTGAGCCATTGCTGAAAGAATCCTGAATTACAGAATGGTTTCCTAAAATAATAGACATTTTAATGAAAATAAAACTCAAAAACACATTTTTATATATTATGAAAACATGCTTTTAAAAGAAGAGCTGTCTTGTTAAAATTTATTTCCACAGAAACAAACGTATATGTTTATTATTTAGAAATAGTGACTATCTGGTATTGAAGTATTAGTCATATTTTATGTTTGTAATAATTTGTTAAAAAGATGCCAACTGTTTAGCATATGTTTTCTAATGATGTCTAGGAGAGTTGTATACATTACAAATAAAAACAATTCCTTTCAACAACTTAAAAACTATTGTTAATGATATAAAATGTTTTTATGTATAAATTAATAAGATGTAAGAAATGTGACTCACAATACTGAAATCTGGAGTGATTTGAGTGTGCAGCTGCATCTTCATTTCTGGTGTTTTTATCTTTCCTGATCCCACTGAAAAATTGCTTTTGAGAGCTTTAACTAGACTTACTTTAATGTTATAATTATGATTAATGTGGGAGCAGTCAAAGCGAACAAAAGGTGAGGTTTTCGTGGGAGAAACCAAATGAAAGAAGCTATGTTTATATTGTATCAACTTTAATTTTATGCTTTATTTTGGTAAATCTAGGATATTTCTTCTTAATCATTCATAAATATATAGGCACATTTTACATATCATACGTGGTTTTATGAAGTTGTTTAATCCTAAACTGCCACCTACCCCACTATTTACCATATTTAAGCAACACAGAATTATGAAAATGATTTTTATAACTGCTCCTTTATTATTTTGCCCATTTCTAAATCCTATATGCCAAAGGGAAATGTAGTTTGGGGATCATCAGATTTTTCACTTTTGCACATTTCTAAATCCTGTGTGCTAAAAATAGTGTGGGGATTTTCAAAGTTTTTATGTATTTGTTTATATGTGTTAGCACATGATTCATTAGAAAGTCACATTGCAGATGTAATAGTAGTTTAGAATTGCAACACTTCTGTAGTTTGGAAGGTTTCAGTAGCAGTTATGTTTTTCAGTATTCTTCACCAGTATTTGCCATGGGGAAAAAAGAGAACTAATACAGAAACCACAGGAGACAGTTGGACTGAGGGGACCCTTAACAGTATTTTCAATCCATCTACTTCCTAACTTGAACCTGAGAAATTAGAAGCGTATTGTCTCCTGTTTATTAGCTGTTCCTGTATTCCTATATTATTTTCAAATTGAGGCTTTTTCCAATTTATTAGTGTTTCCATATTACTTACAAGTCTGTGGCCTTTAAATATAGGACATAGTGTATGGTAGAAATCCTGATTTGTATTTTAAAGTGTCATGTGTATTATAACACATTTTAAAAAGAAAAGCTGAACAATTCTGTTGCATTGTTTCCAATTCTTTATTTTTGGTTGTTTTCTTTTATAAATTTAAGTGTTTTGTATGCTTGGAAAAAGGACACACATATTAACAAGATTGGCTTTGAGCTGGAATTTGGATAGTTTGAAACTCAGGAAATTGCTCTGACAATGTCTTAACTGTTCTCAATTTAAGAAAATGATAAAATATAAAAAAATACAAAAATAATGTTTGCTTGTTTTTTTTTTCAAGTGCTTTTTCTAAGTGCTTTCCCATTGTGCAATGAGGTGAAGTTTGGTAATTTTCCTGTGTAGTGCTTAAATATTGTTTATTTTTATTTACATGTTAAAGAAATTTAAATGTTTGTGTGGCCAAAAGTAAAGTAAGTTTATGTAGAATGTTTGTTAATGGTGCTTATTTTTAAAATGTAATTCAAGTTTACGGTATTAACTAATGCCTCTTTAGAGAATTGAATAGAGGAACAAGGCTGGAATATATTTGTGTCTCAAAGAACCTTCTGGAACTTCACATTGTATGATGAGAGATTGTATTATTTTCCATGAAGTTGAGCAGTTGACTTTAATGGTCCAAATGATGAACCTGTTATTAACAAATGACTGAATTAACCATGAGACTTCTTATTAGAGTACAACACTGCAGCTATCAGTTGGAGAATATATAATAAAATTTTCAGACAGTGTATCAGAAACAAAATGTTTTTATTTATACTATAAAGAAAATGTAATTTTGCTGTTAACTACTTTTTTATTGAAAATGTTTTATAACTTTGCTTCAAAAACTTTCTTATGAAACCATTTGCAGATTACATACTTAATTTAATAAAATACTTTAGCCACAGTCCAGTGTGAGAAAATCTTTTATTTGATGTGGTAGGGTAAGTGGTTTTAAATATTAAAAAATATTTTTATGTGTATCTTTGTAATCTCAAGGGAAAAGTATTAAAAAGTTTTACTTTTGTACCACAGCTTTATTCTAGTTTAAATTATTTTGTTATAACAAATATGGGGTCCACTTTTGAACTAGATAAATGGCTTAGCTAGGTCTATCTTTTCATACCCTTTTATCTTTTGACAAATGTATACAATTAAGATTTGTGTCTCAGAGAAACTCGAATAATACTTTGTTAATGTTAAAGACCTTTGAACTTTAACTCCAAAGCAGAATAACTCATTCAGCATCTTAAAAATATTTATTTGATGAATGTTTATCAATACTTGTTACTGGGGATATAATGTGAGATGGAGCTTCTATCTACAGGTATCTCAATTATTCTCATCAGTTATTTTGTGTATCATGATACAGACTATGGAACACTTTCATATACATTGTATTTTAAGACTCAAGGGAATTTTTTTATATAGGGGTCTTAGAAAGGCTTAGAGAAGTTGGTGGGTTTGCTAGTTAGTGGCAGGGGTACGACTCGAACCTGGGTTCTCTGACTCCTGGCGTAGAGCAATTGCATCTTATCATAAGGGTCAGAACCGGGAGAGATGACATTCTGTTACCAACTGAAAGAGATACGGCTCCACAGGGAACATCTGAAAATCTGGCATTTATAAATCTGCCTTTCTCCTTTATCCAAATGAAGCCAGTATTGTGAGTTTTCCCAATGGCAAAGAAAGAAGTTCATTTCTCTCTTAAAATAAAATTCCAGAAGTATAGAGTCTAGGACTGATGGATGCGCTCTTTTACGCGAAGTTCTTGGGGATCTAAAATCCTTTTAGTGCACCGCCTTCCTTTTTCTGAACTAGGGTAGATAGCCCGAGCTTTAACCGTCATGCCATCTGCACTTCGTTGCAGGAAGGACACAGAAGAAAGGAGCGATGGGCAAGTGCCAGCAGTCTTTCATACAAAATTTTTGGGAGCTGTCATAGGACACTAATAACTTGTATTTTATTGGCCATAACTTAGTCACGTGGTCACATCTAGTTGCTGGAGATGCTGGGAAATTATCTTTATTTCAGACTGCCACATATTCAGCTAAAATTTAGGCATTCTCTCAAAGGAATGAACAGCTGTCTCTGCCACATCACTTTTTGATCATTGAATGCACATAATGTAAAAATTAGTTCTCGATACATTTCTTCAACAGGTCTTTGTTGATGACTACTATGTGCTAGGAATAATAAAAAGACACAGTTGTATGTTTTTTAACCTAAATATCCAATTAATATTAGTATATATATAAATGAAATATATATTATATATGATGAAATATAATGTGCAATATATGTGTATGTGTATGTATCACATTTTCTGTCCATCCATCTGTTGATGGACACTTAGGCTGTTTCCATGACTTGGCTATTGTGAATAACATTGGCAATAAACATAGGAGTACAGATATCTCCAAAATAACTGATTTTGTTTCCTTTGGACATATATGCAGAAGTAGGGTTGCTAGGTTATGTGGTAGCTGGCTTTTTAGGTTTTTGAGAAATGTCTATACTGTTTTCAGTAGCGGTTGTATCAGATTTACAGTCCCCCCAACAGTGCAGCAGGGTTCCATTTTCTCTGCATACCCACCAGCACTAGTGACCTCTTGTCTTTTTCATAATAGCCATTATAACAGGTGTGAGGTGACATCTCATTGTGGCCTCAGTCACATTTGCTGATTATTTGAGATGTCGAGCACTTTTTTATGCAGTTGTTGGTCACAGCTTATGTCTTCTTTGGAGAAATGTCTATTCAAGTCTCTTGCTCTTTTTTAAATTAGTTTTTTTTTCTTTTTTGCTTTGAGTTGTACGAGTTCCTTATGTGTTTTGGATATTAGTCCCTTATCAGATACATGGTTTGCAAATATTTCGGCCCATTTCATAGGTTGCCTTTTCATTTTTGTCAGTGGTTTCCTTTGCCGTGCAGAGTTTTTTAGTATGATGTAGTCCCAGTTACCGATTTTTGCTTTTGTTGCGCTATCTAAAAAATTGCCACCAAGACTAATGTCAAGGAGCATACGTCCTAGGTATGTGTTCTTCTAGGTGTTTTATGGCGTATTAAGACCCCGTACTCCTAGGATTTAATGAAGTCTTCCCCATGTAGGTTTGATCAGTTGTTAACGTTTCCATCCCTTCTCCCTTCCCTGGAGGATGAGAGGTGGGGTTGAAAAGTCCCAAGTTTGTGATCGTGGCTGGGTCTTCCTGGTGCCCAGGCTCCTTCCGGGAGCCCACCCAGAGTCGCCTCTGCAGAACAGAAGATGCTCCTAGTGCTCCTGTTACTTAAGAATTTACAGGGGTTTTTGGAGCCTTGTGTCAGGGGTAGGGTCAGAGGCAAATATTAGAACAAGAGATACTTTTAGTGTTTTTTTCACTTAAAAAATTACAAGAGCCCTGGCTGGTGTGATTCAGTGGATTAACCTCTGACCTGTAAACTAAAAGGTCTCTGGTTTGATTCCCGGTCAGGGCACATTCCTGGGTTGTGGGCCAGGTCCTTGTTTGTGGGCATGCGAGAGGCGGCCAATCAATGTTTCTTCCTTCTCTCCTCCCCCTCTCTCTAAAAATAAATAAATAAAATATCTTAAAAAATCACAAGGGTTTCAGGACCTCTGTGCTAGAAATCAGAGGTAGAGACCAATGTGCAGGGTGGGTTAAAAGTAGGTTTACAGTTGTTTGTATGGAAAATAATGCAATAATAATTAAACAAGAATAAACGTGTATTCACAACTGTAAACCCACTTTTGCCCTAACCCTGTATATTTTCTATTATCTCACAGTGGTTATATATTTTTTTAAAAGTCTTTACTTTTTAAAAAAGGTGCATCCCGAAATATTTACATAAAAATGGTACGCTTTCTGGGATTTACTTGAAAATAAGATGAGGTGGGTGGGGGCACTTACTAAAGAAGATTGGCCTAAGTTGGTAAGTGTTGAAGCTGGGGTTCATTCTATAATTTCTACTTTTGAATATATTTAAAACTAATAAGTGTTTTTTAAAAGTTGGTAGAAGAGCCGGAGTAGTGGACTCTAGACTTGGCTCTGGGAATGATGTCCAAGACACTGTGGAGCGGACCTGCCACAGTAGCTGCCGCCAATGTCATCATGGACAGGTGAGGCATCGGGAGGCCACCTTGGCACTGCCGCCACAGCTTGCCCTGAGCAGACCCAGGGGCGGTGACTAGACACCAGCAAAGTGTCGTAGAAAAACCTGACATCCCCGTAACGTGACTTTTCACTTGGCAGGGTGAGCCATGGCAGCAGATGGGTGGCCTCCAACTTCACTTCTGCCCCCACATCGCCTAAGAGGACATCCGGTTGGTAGAAACTATTTTACAGCCAGATTTTTACCTGCAAGAGGAGTCTAGGAAATGTAGTTTTAAACTGTTCAGCTTCTGCAGTTATAAAAAGGCTGATTAGAAGAAAGCGGAGCTGGAGCATGGATATCGAATGTCTGTGTTTATGGTACTGATGGGACTTGTCAAAGCACTGGAAGTAAAGTAGGTTAGTGTATATACAGACCACAAAGCCTTGCATATCAGCAGGTGTATATGGAGATACTCCAGAGGTACCACAGGCCAGGATAAATTTAGCATATCTTTCAGAACATTAATTTTACTCAATGGCAATTAAATTATTATTTAATGTATCTTATATGTATGTTTAAAAATTGGGTAAATTGTGATGAGTGGAAAATTTTGCCTTAATTTGTAAGATTACACAGTAGGGTTCAAGGACAATTTTCAGGCTGTTTACCCTTTCCCCGGAGTAGTTGTTCTCAGACTTTAGTGTGTACAAGAGTCGTCCACAAAGGCTCGGCATGCAGATTTCTGTCCTCCAAGTTTCCTGAATCAGTCTCGGACAGTTGGACCTTGAATTATAAACTAATACCCCAGGTAACTCAGGTGGGCCTGAATTATCATAACAAATGCTACTCTGTTGGGGTACCCACCACAAAGACTTTATTCTTAGATATTCAAGGTAGCATTTCCTCCTTGGCTTGTACCCCAGTCCTGGTTTGCAGGTCCTCAACTGTAATCAGCTCTGCTGCAGGAGACAGGAAGAAATACACTATTTTACGTTTACTTTCAGGAACTTACTCAATTCTTCTTACAATCTGATGAGGAAATTTGAAGTGCAGAGAGGTTTAGCAAGTTCCCTGAGATTGCATACGTAAGAAGTGATGGGAGTGGGATTCGAACGGAGGCAGTCCGGCTCTGCAGCCTATGCACGTAATCGGGATGCACGTCACCTCTCGGCAGCAGTCTGAGCAGCCCAGACTTAATAATTTATCGAGGAGAGACCCAAAGAACAGTTGACCTGAGCTCTGAAAGTAAGCTAATGGACCTCAGCTGCCCTCCCAGGTAGGCTCCTCAAAGCCCATCTGGCCTCACCAATGGTTTCTTAAGGCCATTTATGTTTTCACTAATTCTCTCCTCAAGCCTTTTCCAGCTTCTGTCCACTGCTGAGTTCCAAAGCTGCTCCCACATTTTTAGGTTTTTGTTATGGCAGAACCCCCTCTTGGTCCCAAAATATGTATTAGGTATCTATTGCAGTGTAAGAAATTACTCCAAAATTTAGTGACTTACAACAACATTAAGTGTTTATTATCCTCAGGGTTTCCCAGGGTTCTGGGAGTGGTCTAGTTGGGGGCTTCTGGGTTGGAGTCTCATGAAACTGCAGCCCATGTGTCACCTGGGTTGTCAGTCACTTGAAGGCTTGACTGGGGCTGGGGCAACTCCCAAGGTGGCGGTTCACTCGCATGGCTTGTAAGTTGGTGCTGGTTGTTGATGGGAACCCTCAGTTTCTCCCTCCAGGGGTCTCCCCACAGGCTGCCCCACAACGTGGCAGCTTTCTGCGCGGGCAAAGCCGTGAGAGCAGAGCAGAAGCTGCAGTGCCTCTGCTGATCCTGTGTGAGAAGTCACCACTGTTTTCTCCAAGTAATGTTTGTTAGAAGCGAGTCACTAAGTTCAGTCCACATTCAAGGAAAATTAA